TTGTACCCAGCGATTGTACCCCCCGATTGTACCCAGCGATTGTACCCAGCGATTGTACCCACCTTTTTTCAACGTCGACACAACGTTGTTGTGCCGAATGGGACAAGATTCCCCGAAGCGCGTCGCATGCTCTCGCCAAGAAAAAGAGTCCCGGGAGAAGCCGATGATCGAGCCGAAACGCGGATCCGGCAGGCAACCGCCCCGAATGTATTAGAGGGAAGACGTCGCACCAGCCTCCATTCTGGGGATCCTCGCAGTTCCTCCTCTCTCCGCCGACCGAGCACGAGGCGCTGGAAGAAAAAAAAAAACCCTTCTCGAATCCCGCCACGAGCTCAGAGCGCTGAAGGCTCTCGTGGGACTCGGACGGTATCTCGACGTCCTCGTCTTCCTCCCGAAGCCTTTCACCTGCCCTCGCTCGCATGCCAGCACTCTAAACGTAGAGGCGGCTGATATTCCAGATGGAAGTGGAAACATCTTATGTCGATCCCGACGGTGGCCCCTACATATGCAAAGATCTCCGATCGATTTAGTAAGTACGGTTGGAAAGGTCTGCGGAAAAATTGTGTGCCCCTCCCTCTTAGAAGTCAGAAAGGTGGGTACAATCGCTGGGTACAATCGGTGGGTACAATCGCTGGGTACAATCGGTGGGTACAATCGCTGGGTACAATCGGTGGGTACAATCGGTGGGTACAATCGGTGGGTACAATCGGTGAGTACAATCGATGGGTACAATCGGTGGGTACAATCGGTATCGAGAAGCGGTATCCTCCCCGTTCCTATCAACTGTCGACACCAACAATCCCGAATCGGGAGAATTGGTAAATGAAGTGCGCGAACCCTCCCGCAGTCTATTGAAAGTGAAGCAGACTCAGATGGCAAACGTGAGCAAAAATCACCAAACGGTCAAAAGACCCCTCAAAGAGCGCGGAAATCGTTTTTCGGCCTCTGGAGATCTTCGTCGCTGGGGGGTCGGAATTTCTATCACCTAACCTACGATGCCTCCATTTAATACAGTTTATAATATGCCGTACAGTTAATGTGACTTTTTCGTTTCAACCGAAGTTGAACTCTTGCTTTTCCATTTTTTTTAAATTCCCTTGACGGTCGTTGCTGTGTAACACGCGATGAAAATAAAAACTAGTCCCAACCAAAGCAAGGCCGTGAGCGCATATTGAAAAGGAATCGGAAATGGACGCGACTTCACGCCGCCTGCCTCCTTGCCTCCTTCCGCGAAAGCCAACGGAACATCTGAATCGACTCGAATTCCCAGTATCGATGTCTATGCGCGCGACATCGGCCATTCATCGGGAGAGGCTTATCGGTTCCGGAAACGAACTCACGAGTAGAGGTGTGCGCGGGGGTGATTTTCGACTCGCGATCGCGAATGAGAAACTTTGTTGTCACTCGTTTTCGCGTAATCCCTTGATTAAAATTATGATCACGGAACCGCACGATCGTTTGCGACCGTGAGTTGATCTCACGCAACATCACGCGTGATGCCTCGTGAGTCGTGTCACGCGTGACGGTTGATACTTTCTCCTTTCAAATTGATGGTGTTGATATTTCCTTCTGTTACTGTATTAAAGATAGTAAAAATTGAGAAACTGTGTTGTAGCCAGATGACACTTAATTTACGTGGTAGCTACTTGTTCGCATGTTCTCGTGTCCAAACTTTTCGAGATTGACCCAGAATCCGTGGACCACCCGAAAAAAAAAGACTCCGAAAGACATCCGCGCTTGGGGTGAAACTCGTGAGAACACAGAGCATCTCATTTGCATAACATGCTCGGCCGTGCAATGGCCGAACACGGGAAATCTGCCCTCAGGCGACGAATGATTGGGAGACAAGCAAGTTTCTTTTTTTCGGTTTCTCCATGGCTCCAGGAAAAAGGTGCGAGGAACGACTCACGAAAAATTCCCGCGCACACCTCTACTTTCAAGGTAGTTCGAGAAGTTGGAAAACTTTGCCACCGCAGCAAGAAGGCGTTTCCTTCGATCCAAAAAAAAAACACCAACTCTTTCATCTGGTTTCAGTTCCGTGGGAATAACTTGTGGGAACGGAGACGTCCTGCTTAAAGGTCGTTTTCCGTTTCGTCCGACCATTGTCTTTCGGACGCGATCTTGTCGGCGCCGGGATCGATCCTCCGCCGATTCGTCTCTGTCGGTTCGCAGCTTCTGGTTCGATTCTTTGCCTTTCGCCGCTTCTTTAGGCTCGATGCTCGTTTCCTCTCTCGGCACGGTCTTGCGGAGTTTCTATATTCAATTACATTCTGGGTTTTCGGAGACTTTTGGATTATTTAAACGATTATTTATTCACGGAAGAAGTTTGTTTCGCTGCTAAATTTCTAATTTTCTCAACACTTTTAAGAGCAAAATCGAGAGAGCCTGCTTCCTCGTGATTTTTTTTTTCTCCGGATGATGCCTCAGAGAGCCTCTAATATAATTCCATTTAAATGAACGCTGAAACTTTACCTTTTCGAGTTGGCAACTGCTCAGTGAGTTCTTTTCAACGTGCTAAGTGTGAAATTTCAGCTTCTTTCGCAGATTTAATGGAATCTGAATTGAGACGACCTTGACCCACTTCCCTAATTTGTTTCGCTTTTCGTGAAATTGTCGAATTGAAATTAATCTAAATCTAAATTGAAGTTTTCCAATTCGAATGAACTCGAATGACGAGGTGAATCGTGGCCAAATCAATGTCTGTCGAATGACAAACGAATTCGCGAATGGCTTATTGCGTCGTGTGTGCATACAACTCAGAGTAGTTTTTCTGCGGACAGCAGAATTAAAGCACTGAAGCACACGTCATGAAGACAACACGTGACATGAGGACAACATGAGGACAACACGTTTGCACGGAAGATGTGCTATGTCCCTTTTCTGACGTTATTTGGTACACGAGGGCATTTCGAACTGATCTATGAAACGTGTTGGGATTGAATTGTTCGTTCCGAGCTGAAATTAAGCGCTGAGTGTCGTCATTGGTCCACCATCGCGAGAACACCAGTTGGAATGGAAATCCCCCGGAATTATAGGAGATTATAGGAGGAAACCCAGAAATATAAAACGTGAAGCGGTACCGACTGGTTCAGGTTCTGGCTCAGGCAGAACCAGTCTCCCAGCTTCCTGGGAAGAAATTTGCCGGTCTAGAAAGCCGTGTCGCAATCTGCGACTCAACTTTAGGGCAATTTTGAGCTCGTTCCTTCTGGTTCAGTTGCTGCCGTCGAACTGGAAAAACCTGCTGCACTTTACGTTTACGATTTCCTCAATGATCTTAAATGCCTGGTTGAGGTTCCCCTTCGTTAACCTTCTCCAGGGTGAATCCAGTTCCAACACTTCTAAACGCTTCTCATTCGTTTGTCCTTGTCCTTTTACCTCCTTATCGTTCTCAAGCCTGCCTCTGGACCCTCACGAGCATAAGCGTAGTGTGGATGGAAAAAGTGAGGGTGCACGGGTCATAAGGGGGGGGAGGGAAGGAAGGGACACAGGGCAAAGTGGAGGAGTACGGGAATTCTGGGATACTGTTATCATGCTTTTCTGGGTCTTTTTTTTTGGCTTCTTTTCTTGGAAGGTGGTGGTGGGGGGCACATGCCTCCGACGCTACGCCGCTGCTCTCGAGCGACCTGATTTCACTTTCATTTGTAGACCTCTATCTGCAGAGATTAATTAAATTAATTAAAAGTTTTCCAAATATAATTGACAGCACAGTAATTTATCGACATGCATCATGATGTTCTAGAGAGTTGAACCTGCTAGCCTAAATCTGAACCATGGAATAGGAATAGGTATTGAAGCACTCTCAGCATGGCAACACTGTTTGGAACGCGGCTTCTCCCTCCCTCATGCGGCATCCTGACTCATGGGAGTGACGTGCGGGGAGGAGACGAATTATGTGGTCGCTGACGATGTGGCCGAAACTAAAATCATCCGGAACCTAGTGCAAATGTTATCCTAATGCATACGCAACCTTAGGCTGATTGTTAGCGTTAAGTTGGCATGGAAATCCCGTTACCCCGGGCAGGCTGGCGTACGCCTTGTCCTACCATTAGTGGTGCTAGCTCCTCAGTCCAGCGCAGTTTAACACTTTCAGTCCCATGCCCGTCACCTGATGGGTATGACCTATAGCGTCTTCATGTCGCTGGGACTGAAAGTGTTAAGTAGTTTTAGCTTCCAGACCTGAGCCGACCAGACCAGACTGTGTCAAACTACGGCACAAGTCAGATGAGCAAACTTCCGTATTTCGTAGGCCTTCTGCGTTCTTCATTCAGCATAGTTTTCGACAGTAGCGGACCGAATGGAGGACACACCCCCTCATTTCAGCATTCAGCAGGACTACCTCCTTTATGTTGAGAAGGCTGTGATGAAGGAATTGAAGCTATTCTTTCCCTGGTTTCTCCATAGCCTATCTATGGGGTGTCCCATAAGTCCCTTTACTCCTGACCCTTTTCATAGTAGAATAGGGTAGTAAGATGAACATATTCATTTAGCTATATCCAAATATAACTCCTTATTTTTAAACTGACATAACTCATGTGGTGGGAATGATAAAAGCATTGTTCTCTGTGCATGTTAAAGCATGTTAAAGCATGTTTAATGTTAGAGCATGTTAAAGATAATTTAATGTCATTTTATATGACATGGATTAAAACTCCACCTAAGCACCAGCACTTTCCACCGTTTTTCTTAAGTGCACAGTGACATTATCCACTGTGCATCAGAGAAACTGCTGTGGAACATTCTGTGTAACTTCCCTGATCAAATTTTCCAACTGGTCAAGATATCTAGGTTTCCTTTGGTAAACCTTTTCCTTGACCCAACCCCAAAAAAAAAGATGTTCATGATATCAGGGCTTCTTCATGCAGGCCAGTCTGTTGGTCCACGCCTGTCTATCCACCTGTTGGGAAGGGTTTTATCCAACCAGTTCAACATTGACAGTGAAATTGGCTGGAGCCCCATCCTGTGGGAAGAGCAACTTGTGTGCATTAGGCCTCCTAGTGACTTCAGACTGCACAAAATTCTGTAATATTTAAACTTTCTGAACAGGTGGATAGGCAGGCATGGACTAACAGATTGGCCTAGGAGAAGAAGTCCTTATCTTACTCCCATTGATTTTATTTTTTGGGGTTGGGTCAAGGAAAATGTTTACCAAAGAGAATGTAAAGGAGCTTTGGAATCTCATACCTTCTGCCATCTTCTCAAATCCTCACAACTCACCTGGAAAAAAGCATAGGGGTAAAGGGACTTATGGGAGACTCTATACATTCTAGCCTGGTAAGATCCATAGGCAATCATGAATCATGTTTCAAGCCTTGGCAAATTAACTGACCCCAACCGTGTTGAAAAGTGCCAAATGGCAAGGGTAGTATTGAAGATTGGTTCTAGATTAGAACAGGAGGGGAATAGTGGGGTGGGGGGGTATGCATACTGCTGTAGAATACTAAAAAATAGGATCCAGGAGGTCCAGTGACACAATGATGAAGGAATCAATATTGTTTCCCTTGTCATGTTGACTACATTTCTCTAGCAGAGGATCTTCAGGGTGAAAAGTTAGACTCTAAACAATATTGAAATGAATGAAGAGAGGTAAAAGTCAGGATTCACTTCAGATGGGTTCATTAATGATATGGTATAATTTTCATTAAAGTGTGAGGAGAGGTTCTAATCTCATTAACCTTTTAAAGGTGGATTTAAATGCCATAAGTGAACCCTGCCTAGCAGGTTTTATTTTAAAAACATTAAAAACATTTAAAAATTAACTTTAAAAACAACCCTTTACAACAAAACAACAAAAACCCTTTAAAAACATTTTGTTTATCTTATGAGAAAAGCCTATATCTATCATTGTAATTGTCCAAACAACATGTACATGGTGATAGAATAATGGATTTATTCTTGGATTTGAGGAGATCCCAGTTGTTAGTCTAAGAATACTTTCCTTGGGATTGTGTGAATCCCAGTTGTGAGTTAAAGGTTAATGGAATGTAGAACATTTTAGAATTGTACTAGCCTAATAAAATAATTATTTTGAAACTTGGAATCTCTGGTCTCAATAAGCTACTCAGAGCATCATTTTTACATTTGGTCATTGCCTTGATGAAATCTATTCTTCTAGACCTCTTTTGTTCACACTCAGAACTCATATTCATTTATTCATCTGCATATATGTGCCTTTGTGTTTGGAGACTATAAACATAGAGAAGAGAAACTGGCCAATTATGGTATGACTGGAAATTCAGAATAAATGGAGAGTGATAAAGTAAATTACCAGTATTTCCCAGCCAAAAGAATACTCTGTCCACTGAAGGGTCACTTCATCATGAGTCATGGTACATTTTTTGGGACAATTTGACAATCATTTGTACTCTGCTTCTCCAATTTCCAATAGATGAATTTGATTACAGGAAATGAGACAGTAAGCGTTGACCTTTTACTGATAATAGAAAATCCATTTTCTTAGAGCACATCTAAGAGCAAAGAAATAGTTGGGCTTCTTGTCACCTGAGGAAACTAGTAGACCCTCAGAAAGTGGGACACTATTTATTTAGACCAGACCACTTTCATAAATGAAATAAGTAAAGCTGAGATCAGCATTCATTACAAATTTTGGAATTTTAATTTTAATTTTCTTTCATTACTTTGACCCTTTCACTGTTGCTTCCAAGTATATTTGACAGCAGAGGCTTGCACCAACAGAGCTGCCGAGTATATTAGATCAGCTTATTCTGTCATTTAGTGTGGCCATCAAGTATATATGACTGAGCTGATGTAATTTGCATCTAGATGGTGCCAATGAGTGTTCAGTTTTTGTTGGCAGCCTGCTTTCTTACTAGATTTCACCTGTGTATTAAAATTATATTTTGGAGTGGGTGGTTGATAGTTGTTTTCAGTAAGGCTTCAAGCCACAGCATCAAAAGGTAGCGAACATGTTTTGTGTGAATTGGAAATTGAACAGTTCATGCTAGATACTGATTCTGGAGATGATTAAAATATAGAAAGTCGTGAGGAAAGTACCACCTATTGAGCATGTTTGTAGCTTGGAGTCTGAAGAGGGAGCACTGCAAAGAAAGCAAACTTGGTCATTGTTTACGTGCTCAGCTGATGAATACAGGCCTAACATAAATTGACACTTTAAATACAGGAGTGGTTGACAAAAACTGAAGTGTAAACCTATTTTGAAGTGTAATGAATATGTTGAACCTTGTAAATGCAACCAAACATGCTGCATTATAATCCAAATTAAGTTTAAAGTTTCACTCATGATTTCCAGGGAAAAGGTAGGACTGGTAGTTCTTAGGCAATTTAAAACTCCACCATGAAAGGGTAAAAAATAGTAATATACCAAACCAACTTGATTCCAACACCATTTGCTGAAAAGGGAGAACCTCATCCTTCATGGATAGGATGAACAGAGGGTGAGGAATTCATACCCAGACAGTGGCAGAAACGAAGGCAATAAGAAACCAGACAGTAAAGACAAATTCTCTTTCTCAACCTCAACATGGAAAGAACTCCTTCATTCTGGATTGCCTCTGAGCTGTCTATGACAAGAAGTCAGTGGCTTTTGGTCTAGCATGCCCAGAAGGGCATCCTCTAAGAAAGTGATGACTATTGCCTCCAATATGGCTCATCAGATTGAGAAGGACTTGCTGGTGGTGGAGTGGAGTACCCACTCATGTGCCCACTCATCCTGGTCAACCAGACTACATTAAGCTCCTCTTCAGTTTTAATTTCATTCATTGGGCTGGTTGTCTCTTGCAGGTTGTTTTCATGAGCTTATGCCCAATGAATAATACAGGGTGTCTGAAAAGTCACTCCCTCTTTTTAAATTGCTATTGCTCCTAAACTGAAAGAGATATTGTAACCGGTCTTTCACTGTTTTAAGGTTAATCATTACCATTTCTGTTATAAGTGAATAATTGCTGAAAAATAAGCATAGAAGAACGAGCGACTTAATTTAATAGGTTGTTGAGGGCCAACGGAATGGCCTGCTTGAAGTCCAGATTTAACGCCATGCGACTTCTTTCTGTGAGGCTGGGCGAAAAAATTAGTTTAAAAATCAAGACCAAGGACCATTGATGAACTTGAAAACAAAATTCGTGATATTCTAGGCAATGCACCAGGTGACCTCTTGAGAAAATCTGTTGAAAATGTACCGGTAAGGTTACAGAAGTGTGAGGACAATGCTGGAGCCTACGTTGAATTTTACTTTGTAATAAAGCTTTTCAATTTTGTTATAAAGTAGATGGTAAAAAATAAGCTTCAATTGAGTTAAATAAATTTTTAATATCTCCTTTGGTTTAGGAGCAATAACAGTTCAAAAATAGGGAGTGACTTTTCAGACACCTTGTAGATGAATTGATTAATATCAATTAAGAGTTTTCTTTAAGTTCATTATGAATTTCCCATATTATTTTATTTAAGGAAATGTCCATTTCAAATGTCACACTTGTCATGGGTATATCATTTAAAACTTTGATCTTAAGAAATTGATTTTTTTGCAGCCTTATAGACTTTAAAGTAAATGAAGACAGCTACATCCTCAGCAAATTTTTTGAGATATGACTTAAGCAATTATGTGATACACTCAAAGTTTTTGGTGTTTTTTTTGTCATACTCTGTGGACTTGGGCTAGCATAAAACAAGGGAAGTTCTAAATAATGTTGAGGAAACTCTCTCACCCCTATCTCACTTCTACTTAATATAGTTTCTGTATTGATAGGCTTATGCAATGACACATCTGGGGTATTTAGCAGTGCTTAGATGGTATAATGCTCAAGGGGTCAAGCTCTGGGGAAGCATATGGAGGCAGATGCACTTGGAGTCTAGCCCTAAGAGGAGGTGGTTTGAAAAGTACAGAATCCAGAAATGTTTAATTTCCTTGTGGTTCAAATTTTTATCGCTATTGTTGGTTACTGAGGGGATTCAAATGGATGTGAGTTTGTTCAAGAAGAAGGCAAAATTCACCAAATGTTTGCCATGTTCCTAAGCCTCCACAAAAGCCCTTAGTTTCATCCCCACTTTGTGCCAAGTGGAGATAAGACTGATAGCATTGGTGGAGGATGATACAAGATGTACTGCAAACTTTATTTTTGCCTTGCTCTGTTTCCATTTGTTACACCATCCATGCTTTAAGCATTTTTTAACCCTCATACTCCATAAGGATTGCTCAAATCAACATCTGCATATGACGCCAAACTCTTCCATTGGTTTTTGTTCAAATGTTGGTATACATAAGGAACTTCAGGGTATCACTGGTGTAAATCTATTTGAATGTCTTGAATTGCCTAGTATTTGAGCAATTGAAGAATTAAAGTTTATCCCAACTTCATAACTACCTTTAAGCCTTAAGTTAATCGATGTGATACATACTCTATCCTTCCTTTACTTGGCATAATATTAGTTTTTGTAGTGATTGGATTCATGTTTTTCATAGGTTTCACAGAAGCTGATAATGTTGGCTTTCAACATTGAACCTTTGAAAGAGCCACGTGGCTTCATCAAATGCTTGCAATGGGTAAGGACACATTGCTTCTCATCATAGCGTAAGTTTCAGCATTCTCAATGTCAAATGGAGCTGAGTCTATTGGTTTTTGGTTACTTTTGTAATGTGGTATCTTTAGCCTTCAAGTCCACCTCGGTGGGCTAGTAGATCACTGATGTCTTCCTTGTCCCCCTCTTCTCTATATTTCCCCCCCTTTCATTTTCAAGAAATTGACTTTTTTCTTTCCAAGATTTCTTACCTGGTTTCTTGGTTTACTATGCCCATTAGTATTCACTGATCTAACCAATCAATAATACCATCTGTTCTGAAAAGCCTCAAATCTATTGCCCCATTTTGGTGTCTGAAATGTTATACTTTCTACACCTGCACTCAAACAGCAGAGCTAAATTGTTTCTTCATGATTGCAAGGTTCTTTGATGAATGCTGCTGTAGCTCTTTTGCTGATTATGGTGCCTGCAGCATGGTGTGACACTGAGCAGCCTTAGCTTGTGATCCAATTCAAGTTCACTACAGTGCTTTTGCAATGAGTTGATGCACCCTTATTATGCAAATCATTGTTTTCTGTCAGCCTATTGACACCAGTGAGACCATTATTTTCTCCAGTCTTTCATATAACATGAACTGGTATTTAATAGATGTCCCTAGAGTTGAAACACTACCACCACCAGTGCCCTTTTGGAGAAGTGTGAGAAATGTAGAAGTCCAAAGGTCCTGTAGATGCCAAATGAATAGCTACCAGAAAAGTGATTGATGTGTTTTTGTGTGTTATTAATTGAGTGGTTTTCCTAGAATCTGCACTTTGTTACGATGGTATTGCATTGGTGTTGTGCATGTGAGTGATTGATGCTTGATTAAGTACATGTATGGGACAGTATGTACTTCACATCCCACACTATCTCACTCTTGTAAGAAATCAAGAATTATTTAATAAAATAGAATGTCTTAAGTACTAGCATACATGAGTAACCGATACATATGAAGAACCTGCCCCCTATGAATGGATTCTACCTGATTATTACCAGAGGTAGTAGAGTAAATTTTACCAACCTGTTTGTGTAAAACATTCCACAACTCTCATTTCTATCACCTGGCATTTCCATTTGCTGCAAGGTTTTCATAAACTGTCAAATTATTATGGCATTCCACTCCATGTGTGCCTGTCTATGAGTTGGAATTATTCAAAATTATTGTTTTCTTGTTTAATTTTTTCTTTACTCACAAATATTTCCCCAGGCACCAAAAGTTAAACATTACATGTTTGTACTACATCAGTTAGTGAGTAGATCATTTTTGCACTTTTGGTCTGCTATACATGCTGTTACAGTATTAGATTAAATCTTTAGATGTGCTTGAAGTCACTGCTGATGCTTGATTAGCTCAATAAACTCTTCAGAACCAGCACCCAATCCTGTGGACATGTAGAAATGTCATATTTTTAGGAGTAGCTTTTCATTTATGAAGGTTAAGTCTTTAAAAAAATTTTTTACCAAAAAATAAATTAGGCAATTATAAAAAATCATCATTTTTGGCCTCCAGGTCTGATTTTATTGTATTCTTATCTTTCAATTATGCCTTTCATGAGGGATTTTCCCCTGCAATTGCAAGCAAGGGGAATCCAACTTGACTAAGAGGAACTGGTTCTATATGGTGAGTGCCATGATGCCATGTAATATTGACTTCAAATATTCACTCAAAATTGATTGAAAAAATTCAATGTAAACCTGAGACTACATGTTAACATGACATGCTACAAAGTTGTGAAAATGCTAGAGGAAATTGCTAAAAAATTCCCATTAGTTTTGTTCCCGTTTATGGGCTTGGAGTATAAAAGGGTTAATAGATCTTCTAGAACTTGTGACAGTGCAAGTGAAATATTGTGGGAGCCCCAATGCATTGTGACTGTAAAGTGTAATTAAATTAAAGACCTCATTCTTTTACATCTCAGCTATCCTCCTGCTTAACCCTTTGAGGAGTGGTTTTTTTTTTAACAACTGCAAGATCCTTCATAGTGAATACATGGGGGCAGGAAGAAGTCAGCCCATTTACATGGGCATTCTCAAAGGGTTAAGGGTGTTGAAAACTAATCTGAAAATACAATAGAGTGTGCCTGGAAGTGATAGTGGTAAAGACCGATGTAACTCTAAAAAATTGAATGGTTTCATCTGAAAGGGCATTTATTCTACATCTGTTGAAGGTACTTCAGAATTCAGTCTTTCCCTCTTGATATTGTCACACAGTGTCTAAGTGCTTTGGATATGTCACTGACAGTGAATAAAATAAATCAGCTTGATTACAAAGCTCTTTAGTGATCATGTGGTTCTCCATGTCTACTCATGAAAATTGATTTTTTGCAGGCTCTTGAAACATCACTTTTTCCACTATGTCCTTGTAGGTGGTTCCAGTCAGTGTTCACGCATTCAGATCTAGAAAATTTCCTGGCCATTGAGCATTGTCAATGAAATTCTCATTTTTGACTCAAACTGTTGAGAGGCAAATGCTGCAAAGCATGATGCTCTTAATCATGGAGGTGAATGGCTTGGTCAATATCAAGAATGTTATCAGGATCTCTCAAGAATGAAATCATGTTATTGCTGAGAATATGTTCTCTGAAATAAGTTCATCATAACTCTGTCCGCAAGGCCTCACCACCCACAGCAATCCTTATGCTATGGAGACCATAAACACACCAGCACACTATGGCATTTTTTAAATCTCTCAAGAATGCTCTTCTTCAATCTCATCTAGTGCTTTACTCCAGATCCTGCCATTTTGATGATATAAATGAAGAACTCACTTATAGTCAAATGGAGAACTTAATTTTCATCCCATTCACACAAAATATCAGCTAACCATGAACAGTCTTCAATGTTCAATTAAGCCTATCCGAGTTTGGCGATTTCATGATTTGCCTCCAGACCTTTGTGCTGATCAAAGCATCAAATAACAAGTTGATTAATGTGTTTTCCCCTCATTTTAAGAATCTCTTTTCCAATTTCACTGTGACTTTTGTTTTTCTATCCAGATGCTTCTTGAACAATTTCCTTTGATTCCTGAGAAAGCTCTTCAGGTCTATTGCTGCTGAAATTAGTTTCACTCTCTTCAATACCATTTTTCCAGTGATTTTTCACAAATTTTTCCATACTTTCAGTATGCACTTGCAGGGGGCCAGAGCCAAAGACTGTTTCAGCATCTTGTATCACATGAAATGTCATTGCACAATTGTGGTCAATCAATGCCTTTCCTTACTATTACCCACTAATAAACCAGCTATTGCTTATCTGAAAAATTGTAGATACATTGTCTGATGTTAACTATGACAATCAGGTAGCTCAAATTTCATTGTGCTCCCTTGCATCCTTCCATAGGGGTACACTGTCATTCCTAGACATCCCATAGTCATCTTTATTTTGCTTTATCTTTCAAAACCAGGAGGAATATATAGGGTAATTCAAAATAAACGCTCCACCTTTTTCTTTGGGAGAAAGTAAGATTCATATATTTCAACAAAAATGATAAGATTCATAAACTCTTGATATTGGACATGCACAAGGTGTTGAGAAGATTATCTGGGTTTTTCTCAGAACTATTCTTTTAGCTATGCATTGTCCCATTACTCCATTTCTAAATTCAAATAGAGTAGTTTGCCCTGTTTGAGTCTCAAACCGATTTTGCCTTAATTCATATTTTTTAAATTGCCTTTGGGACCAAATCTTTTGAAAGGGCTCTTATATAAAACGAATATTTTTTTGGCAGTCTCATGTAAGGTTCAAAGGCTCAAAAGATAAGCCTTACAGGTGTTGTTTTCCTGCTTAAAAAGTGACGTAGCACAAAGATAGGGGATCCTCTGGTCAGCAACAGCACCTGTTTCTGCATGCAATGCCATCTTGCAGATATGAAAAATCTCTTACACTCATGGACCTCTCTGTTATGTATCAGCTGCATCCTATTGTCCCTTGTAAAGTTACAACCAATCAAAATTGGGTGGTGACATTATAATAACTGTGTAGTCAGGAATGTAGCATTTGGGGGTTAGGGGCCATTTTGTGCCCCCATTATCAAATTCAAATTCACTTTTCTTGGCCTCCACTCGAAGTACAGATGTATGCTTTTTTTGCCTGCAGGCTATTCTCAAAATAATCAGACTGCTTGCCAAATTTAATTGAATTCTGAGATGGTCAAGCATAGATCATTGCCTCACTTGAGGTGGAAAGATTCACCTCTTAAATGGGCATTGCATGACTTAGGGATGGGTGTTGAAAAAAAGTTGACATGCATCTCAACACCTTGAGACTGTCCAATGTTAATTGTGTTGCCAAAAAAAAAATTTTTTTTGCCCTTAAGAAACTTTGTTTCTCCCATAGAAAACAATAGTGTTTTTTTTTTTAAATCACCCTATATACTGCTTCATTGCTTTAGGAAGTATGGATGAATGGATGACTCATACTTTTCATCTATCAACACCTTGTAACCCCTCACCATACAATACTTTAATTGAGCTACAGTGTGCAAAATTCTGTTTATTTTTTTTTTCAGATATTTGCCATTGCTGCCTTTGCAACTGTCACCAATTTCTCTGGGGATTTCTCCATCAATGTAACATGTAATTCTACCAGCAGCTCTGAAGTCAGACTCCATGTTAATTATCCATTCAGGTCTGTTATTATTTCCATTTTTGTGAAGTTTATTATGTTGGCTTTTAACAGGATTGGAACTAAAAATTTAAAAATAACATAATGCAGTGTAATTATTTTGAAAATAATGATGCAAAATCAAGAAAGTAACAATGGTAAACTACAGTTGAACTCGGTTATAATGTCATCAAAGGGACCAGGTAAAAGCCATCATTATAACCGAGGTTGCCTTTATTGGTACTCCGTTTTCCTGTTTTCAAAATTGATGCTACATAACATTATAACTCCAGTTTACATTGGTCATACTGCACCAGCTTCAGTTTCAAGATTGACCCACTTATCATGATGTTTGCACTTTGGACCTTGAACTACTTTATACTTTAGTAAGGCTTCGTTGATGTCATCTCGACAGACCTAGGAAGTTTCTTGTTTTGTGACATGTTCTCATAAGAATGGACAAAGCTGTCACGATTTTCCCAAATTGTGGGAACAGATGTCCATGTTCACAAGCAATGTTAGCTTCACTTCGAGCCCTTTCTATTAAACTAATCAAGCACACTTTCCTTTCAATCGTGAAGGCTTGCCTCTTTCGTTTTCCATTGGCCATGTTGTCAATGAGAAATGCAAATGGCGACTGAAGCTAAGGTCATCTTAGTTACTGGGAATTATCCCTCTCTGACATTGCTCCAGCCACACCCACGTGACTCTCAAGGAATGCCGAATCCAGGAAATATAAAGTTATGGCTCACTAAAGCTAATTTTTCCAATGACAGAAATTTCAGTTAAGAATGACGGATTAAGGACATGAACGTTGTCGATTTCATCAGTGGGACCTTCAATGGACTTTGTTATAACCAAGTTTGCTATAACTGAGGTAAAATGTAACGTGCCCTATGGGCTGTACGCTGGGACCTGGTGCTTTTCGTCATTATAACCAAGTTCGACTGCGTATCTGTCAGTCTTCTTAGACAATACAAACTTTTTTTCAATTTCACACAATTTAGCACATAGCTTTTCATTTATACCATATTTTCTCGGAAGAGTAATCACTTCTAATTTCTACTGTCTCCAATAAGGAAACCCTTCTAAACTGAATTTTCAGGTTTACAGCGATGGAAATCAATAATGAATATATTTAAAAAATACAATGAATGATAAATATATTAAAAAGAACAAATATACATAATTCCTGAGAAACTGTTCCTAATTTAATTGCTGAGCAAGTACCATTCTCAAGGGTTCTTTGTGTGCTAGCCCATGCCATTCCTCATCTCACAATGTGAATGTCTTGGATTCACAGAGTTAATGCTGTATGAATTCATCTATGCAAATATATATGTACGCATAATCCACATAGAAATCAATGCTTTCAAGTCAATACACCTCATTGAACAAAACATAAACTCTACAACACACAGCAAAATGCTGGCATTTAACACATTGAACACCATACAACATGCCAGTGCGTCACCAGGCATGTTTTGTCGGGCCAAAAGTAAAATCATCTATCCTTTCTGCTGCGCCAAGTATTAGAGCACACTTAATCATAATCAAAGGGATGAGGGAAGGGAGAGACTTTGATGTTATGTCCACTTTTGGTACCCTGCATTATCACTTAGAATTACTTGAAATCCATTCATCATTGACTAGTTGCAAATAACACTGAATTCTATATGAATTTCCAAACTTCTTGGCTGATAGTGCCTACATATTCATTGAGCTCCAGAAATAACACCCAAAAATGTAACAGCTCATTTCTTAGTACTAGCATTCATGAGCTCAATAAGCTGCATGGAAAATAAAGCTGCCATCCTTATGACTCCACAACACAAACTACAAGCCATTCCAGCCAAGCCAAACACGGTTCTAAATGTAGGACTGCTTATGACACTCTGGCAGTCTAATAGTGTCATGAGAAACTTGCAGTGCGACACACAGGCATGTCATAGGGGGCAAATGGAAAGAATTAGCAAAACTACCTTGGTGGTCAATGTGTTAATATGCTTTCAGGCCCAGTAAGGTACGATGAAAGCCAAGACAACCCAGGCCCACCTGCATTGCAGTGGAGAAGGAATCAAATCTCTGTCTGATGTCATTCTTATCATCCTTCAACTCAACAGCAAAGGCCAGTCTTGGGTCAGAGTAAGTTGTCTTGTTGTTGACAGTATCGATGAAAAGAATAGTTCCATCAGGTTCCACTTGCTCCTTCCAGCCAAATGGAAGCTCTCCTGCCACTTTCTTTCTTTTCCCTGTCCTTAAAAAAAAGCAAGAGTGAAAAAATCTTTGCTGGACCTTGGCCTATATAAATATGAATTTAGCATTAATTTTAATGATCTTGAAGTGAAATGGATACCAAATAGCCCACAAGATTTTATATATCTATATTTATCAAGTCTAACTCCACTGTAAGCCAACTTGGCTGATTGAGAACTAGGGTTGAAGATTTGAGCCATTCTGCCACAGGGGAAAATATTGAGAATAGTCAGATTTCCATAAACATGAAAGCATGATACAAACAAAAATTACATTAAATTTTAATTTCTTGATGTAAACAGTTTCTGGGCATGCTACGGTAAACAGTAGCATTCCCAGAAAATCCCAATGGGGGGGGGGGGCTTGACACATGAAAAATTGGTAATCCACCTGTTAACGGTTAACCCTTTCCTGGCCATTTTATTTGTAATGCTATGGAGATTGCCGGACTAGGACCACAAGGGGTTATGCAGGTACCCCCTAACAAAATTGCACTCCCTCAGTCTCCAATGTTCCCAGATTAATTCAACTGAAAACATGCTACATTGAATGGGATTCCTTTTATATATTATGAACACCACTCCACCCCAACCTAACCTAACCTGGCCTAACTGAAGGAGCAACACAATATCCCTAGGGGGTACGCGCTTAACCATGACCAATCGACCCTCCATATACGGCAAAAAAAATTTTCGGAGAAACGAACCAGTAAAATATATCCCAATGGGGAGATTATGACCCCCAGACCCCCCCCCCCCCCTTGGGCGTACCGTTGACCTTGCATCATGCCGATGAACATATTTCTCTAGCAAGAGAATTTCTGCATGTTACACCCCGGTAGTCATGTAAACCAATGCAACAAGTCTCCAATGATGGGATAGTCAAATGATTCACCTAGGGTGTGTCCATTGTGTGCTCTTGTCCACATGATTGACATAAAACACTTGACCTTGAGGAGTGGCTCTCTCTTCCCAACCGGGAGGCAGCTCATCCTCACTGTCACTGTCGAAGTCAGGCGCTCCTTCACCAGAAGGTACCTGGGGTATCATTTCTCTTGGAAAAAGCGAATTGAGGTGGATAATTTTGAATCCTCCTTATTTTACCTATGAGAATGAGCATGTCATAAATGCCGATTCTCCAATAAATGGGCTTGTCAAGTGGCTAAGACGCAACGAGATCCACATGGTCATCATGACCGAAGGTGAAGAGGAACAACAGATGCGTGATTCATATAATGCCAAGTCATAATACATTTAATTTTTAAATTAATTATAATGTTATTCGCCAATTAAAGAAGGTATCTTTTACCATGAAAAGTTATAAAATACATTATGAGCAAAATTTAGCTTTCCATGACTCTGTCGTGGATACGTTTCTAACGACTGTGATAAAGTGGGAAAGCATCCCTGTGCGGTGGCGGAATGGATCATGGCGATTCGCACAAGTGAGGGATTCATCTTTCAGGCATTTCTGCGACGCCGGGAGGAGGATTGATTCCAGTGCGCCAGCGCATGTTATCATCTCGCATTCCCTTCTCCGGCCTGCCATACGATGGCATTCCAGACGTTGCCGCAGTATCTACAGAAGGTAAGTATGACGACGTTGTAAATTATGCACGCCTTAGGCCTTGTCCTACTTGCCATTTAGAGTGGCATGGGCAACCTGTGTTGTCATTAAGCAGTACAGGATTCAGTCTTCATCTTCGTCTGTGGTTCTTCCCTTTCTATCCAGGTGGAGCACCACCTTTTCGGTCGAGACGGCGCATCAGCAGCGGTAAGCTTACTTTGATCAACTACGAGGCGTCGAAATCGAGCGTAACATTCAGCTTAACATTAGCCCTTAAGACCTGACGTCAGATATGGTGTCTGTCATACAAATTAATCCCCCCCCCCTCTCCTCCCCATTGCATTATTTAAATGTTATTTAACATTTCTGTTTTCAATGAAAGTTGAAGTTAAGTTTTGGCTCTTGCACCAGAAATGCTCTTTGTAATGAATACTCTGTCAGTAACTTTTGAAACAGATGAGGGGGGGAGGTTTTTTTCTTTAATGACTGCTGATAAGAATCATATAATGCTCTCCTTTCAGTTAACATTCAGTAGACCTCCTTCATATCTATGACAAATCTTCTAGATATCTGATTATTATGATCATATGAATGACAAGCAAAAATTCACTAGTACTAGTTAATCACTAGGAGGTGGCAGTTATGTTACATCCTGATTTTTTTTCTTTTTCAATTTGGCCGCTTAAGGTTGTACCAACAGTTGTTTCAAGCAACTCTGACACGGGTTTGTTTTGCAAAAGGGTACCTAATGACTTTTTCTTTCTAAAAATAGATTTAGTATTGTAATATGGGTTTCTGAATGCACTGAGTTGATAATTGTGAAGCACTATTTGATACTTGGGCTCTATATGGTTCTAAAGCCAGTTCAAAATATTCCAAGTGCATTCCAGAATACCAGAAATTAAGGCATGTGTTTTGCTTTTCATTTTAATTTCATGCCTTTAATGTTCCTCCTTTAATAAACACATACAGGATATGGCAAGAAAAAAGACCAATGACTTCCAACCTAAATATCTTCCCTCCCAATAGCATTATTTTTGCAAAACTTTCACAATGCATATATGAGTATGTTTCTGATTGATGCCTCAAATTTCACCCAAATTTGTTGGGCCAAAGCAATTCTATCAGCAATTATTGAAAAGAAGTTAGACATTGAGAATGGACAAGAGCTCCTGCTGGTAGTGCCTACCCTCCTGCTTTGTTGCCTCCTTGGGACAGGGCTTGAGTGTGCCCTCCACTCCACTACCAGCAGGAACTCTTGTCCATTCTCAATGTCTAACTTCTTTTTAATAATTGCTGATAGATTTGCTTCAGCACAACAAATTTGGGTGATATTTGAGGTTCCAATCGGAAACATACTCATGCAATGTGAAAGTTTCACAAAAATAACTTTTGGGAGGGAAGGTATTTAGGTTGAAAGTCATTGGCCTTTTTTCTTCACCATACCCTGTATATGGTGCTTTTAGAGGTTAATAATGCCTGAAAATTTTAATGATGCACTAGCCAGATTACTAGGAGAAGCGATAAGGAAGTCTCAACTTGGCATCCAACTGAATTATAGTCTAATTTTCAAACTAGAACCACATTTCATTTGGCAGGAAAATATTCAGCTTTTGTAGCTTATTTGGATTATTTTTGAAAATTCAACAGATTTCCATGCATATACAAAGTAATAGCTGCAATTTACAACCTGTGGTGGTGCCTACCATCTCTGATATTTAGCCTACTTGCATGGCCGAAGATGTCTATCTTGTTAGGCCTATAACTAATATCAAATAAACATAGATGACTCACTTGAATCTTTTTATTCACTTTGACTATGCATTTCTTGTTACCCTTTTTTTCTGTTCAATTTTGGATTGATGGCTTTGATGATGATGAACAACCCTTTGTTTCATGTTTTATATTTAATTTACTCTGAGAATAGATCAGTGCAACTGGAAACTTGGTTTTTTCCATTGTCTCTTTTTTAAAATTCAGAATGCATTCATACTGAAATCTTGCCACTTGGCAATCTCTTGCCTCACTTTTGCCTTTCTGCAATGCAAACAATTCTAGCCATTATGCTAATCAACTGCCATTAGAGTAGGGGTAAGTTACACACATATTGGAGTCCCAGCATAGTTAGGGCATCCAATGAATTTAAATTGACAGTACATTGCTTATCATCTGAGTTTACCTTATATACACAACAAAGTAAAGCACTAAAGCTGGTTCATTATAAACCTAAGTTAGTCACAAAAAATAAGCAATTTCTTGGCCAAAAGTAAAAAAAAATTATTGAAGTCAATCTGAAATTTGTATATCCCCTGTTATGCACCTCCAATTGATCAAATGCTATCATCCTTGAAAAATGGATGTGGGGCCTTTATCTTTTTTTCTTGGATTTGTTAAAACAATTCCAGATGATGTTCTTTATTTTTTCCCAGGATATGTTTTCCTTGACGCATCCTCATGTGGCCAGTGAGCATCTCCAAGTGCCATTTGCTGGTGATATTGTTTCAGAAAAGGTATCACCTCCATATGATGACCTTGTCTTGATTCATCTCAGGTGTGGACATAAGATCTGGACATATCACTAAACTTAGTTTGCAGAATTCTCACTGGTATATCCTCTTTGCAGGTGCTGTTGGGCTCTCTCCAAGCACAACATGGAGGAGCTGTTGAAGACCCAGAGCATGGCTGTGGAGGCTTCCACCAAAATCCTACAAACTCACAGGAACCAAAACTGGTTCCTGCCTGTTACGATAGTGCTGTGTCGTGACCTTCGTCGTGTTGCTAGCATGTTCCCCTCATCATCAGATGGGAAGAAGACAGACACTCTAGAGAAGGCAGCTGAGTTAATCATGGGTTGCTTCAGAATTTGTGCTGCTGACAGGTAGGTTCCCCCTTAATATCCTTAGTGTTTTTGAAGTTGGGCATACAGATTAGTTTGCTCATGCATGAATGATGCAACGATATTTGTCGGTTACCGGTATCAGCCGATATTGGGCGAAACTGATATATCGGCCCAAAAAGATATATGACCTGCCGATAACTGATATTGAAATGACTCCTGAAGTATGCCAAATGCTAAGTATGTAAAGCGAATGATGAATGTGCTCTCATTTTTCTTGGACACAAGTTCATGAGACGTTCCTCATGCATGAGTGTCAAAGTCAAGCGGATAAATGTCTGACTCAAGTGAAAAACACTGCAGGAAGTTGAAAATGCCTAATTGACACGTTTTCATTTAAAAAAAATTTTCCCCTTTGGATTAGGAGTGACGGCAAGGCACTGAAGCTTCACCCCTATTTGACAGGCAGTGTCTCCCAGTGACAACTTGTGACCTGTTGCAAGCATGTGATATAGGCATAATCAACTGCAATAGAAGTCTAAAAAAATTTCGCTTTTGGTTTAACTGCCATAATAATCTGGGGATATGCCACCTGGGTTTGACCTTCACTGCCGCTGTTCTTCAACGTCCCACATCTAGAGATGGGAGTGCTCTGTGCTCAGGTACTCCCTTCCCAAGCATGCTGGCACTTGAACTAGGAAATATATTCCTGACTTGGCTAGGTTCGAGCCCAGGCCCCCTGCCACGGGACATGAGCTCATTACCCAGTCACACAAGAGAGAGATAGGAAGCCTGATCTACTTAACTTGGCGTAATGCCACTATAGTGGCCTGCTCTGTGCTATCTGCGAAAATAGACATCACTTGGGTTTCTGCGAATAACCCAGGCCTAGATGGATCCCAAAACTAAGGAATAAAAATCACTAGACAATGATATGGTTTCAACTGTTTCGTGCCCATGGGTTCCATTTGGAACCACAGATTTTCAAGATTTTATAATCTTTATATTCATGCTAGGGTGATGCTGATGGCCACATTTGGCCAGTAGATTGATGGCGCATTTTGAACTCATACTCATCGACCAGTGCCAGAGCTGGAGCTGATTATGGTCTAGATTGAGAAAGTAACATGAAATCGCATACAAATTCAAATAGGCACATTTGGAAACCATGTGATACTTATCATACTCATTGGTATCCTGAAAACAATAGAGACCACTTTTAGTCCTTTCCAGCCTGTCTGCCTGCATCCGTTAGTGATTAGCTGGTTACCTACTGCTGTTAAGAGCGCTTAACGACACCACTTGCCGGGGGGGGCAACCGCCCCCCCTATGGCCAGGTTAGCATTTGATTTATTTATTCAAAATAGCATCTGCATTAAATGTTATTGGAGCCAATGAAATAGGTACTCAAGTTCTTCCCCCAGACAAAAAATTTAAAAAGGCGAAAGGACGAGGAATAGTGGTAGGCGTGGAGAGGGGGCTAGGTAGGAACTTGGGAACTGCTCCCCCTATGAAAAATTTATTTATCTGCCCCTGCCACTCACTAATGCACAGCATGAAAGGAGGTGTGATGATTTCATGGTCTTTACTATTTTCCTTCCCCAATTCTTACAATCAGGCTGAAGTATAATCCGATCAATTTTTTTTTTCTGGGAGAGGGCAGCAGGGAAGGCTTTCAGCAAGACACGAGGGCCAGTGCCAAGCCGTGTTCACACACTCACATAGTTTTTTTTCTTGTTTTGCCCTCCTTGGCTTCGGCATCGGCAGTTTGCAACCCTACTGATGGCCATGGCATCAATGGTGCAACACCAGAGGCCTGTCTTGGTGGTTGTCAATTCTTGCAGTCCTAATTTATGTAAAATATTTATAATTTCATACTTTATATTTAAATATTTATATTGTAATGTATTGAATAAATATATTTGCATATAAAATACTTCTATAGCATAATAAATATGATTAATCACTTTAGTAATTTTCCTGAAAACAATTATGTTCACATTTTTTCTGCATGGCAAATTATCTGATGATGTGTTAATAATCCATCAGACATGTCCCTCTGGGTGTTCATTGGAGGTTAAATGGTGGGAACTTTGACATTCTTGACATTTTCTTAACTGAGTGCTTCTCTTGAAAAAAAAAAAAGGAAAAAAAGTAAAAGCTGTTCCACCTTCTTGCAAGTTCTAGGATGGAACATAGGAAAGAAAATGCCTGATGCAATTCCAATGTAATATTTTAAAAATCCACATTGAGGAGCCTGGCTTCAGCATGATGAAAACATTTCTTCTCTCTATTGGAGAAATGGTAAAAGCACAAGGTGCACCACTGGTGCACCTCAAGCTTTCCCCATCAGACCTGGTCCCAATTAAAACTCAACAGTGGAGGGGTTAATGCCCGAATGTGTGAATATAAACGTAGATATAGGTCAGTATCAGTTCTTTTCCGATATCATAATTGGTGGTATATTGGGTATCAGCCAAAATTCAATATTGTTGCATCTCTAATGTATGATGCCCATGTTTGTCCCTCTTTATCCAGCCGAACAGGGGAAGACTATACAAAGCGCTGGGGGATGCTGGGTTTGGTGAACCTCCTTCTCCGAATCTACTTCCGTACAAGCCGCATGCACCTGTGCAAGCCTCTCATCAGAGCCATTGATGCCTCACCCCTAAAAGACCGCTTCCCACTTAGTCACCGCATCACATACATGTACTATGTGGGGCGTAAGGCCATGTTTGACTCTCAGTTTAAAGAAGGTGAGCTGGTTTCTGATTTGGCGGCATTGATATTTTTAAATTGCCAAATTAAGAGATAGTTTTCTTTTTCAGCTGAGAAATACCTTGACTTTGCTTTCCTTCATTGTCACCAGCAATGCTGGAAAAACAAGCGTCTCATCCTCATCTATCTCATTCCTGTCAAGATGCTCTTGGTAGGTGTACCAAGTACATCTTTATTATTATGTCTTCATAAAGTAAACTTATGGCCTCCGACTCAGTGTTAATAAGAGACTGAAAGCTCAGGACTCCTGCCACCAGTGATTAAAGGGGGTGGGGGAGGAATTCCTTAAAAGGTGATATATTGCTTCAAGTATAAAATGCCAATGGAAGATTCCAATGCAGTGGCAATGCATTTCTGGTGCTCAAAATACATTCTGTAAATCCCATCTTAAAATCTTGTTTCCTTTTGTTTAGGTGAAGTTGAAGAGCCACTTCTCACTTTGTCAGGGGTTCCACACTTGTGGCCCACAGGCCATATACAGCTCCAAAACATTCTCAATGCAGCCCATGACCCACCAGCATAAACTGAGAGGGAAATGTTTTTGGCCCAATTTGCAAAATATAATATAGTGGTAGATTATTCTTTCTATGATTTCACACTTTGGCCTGCAAAGAGATCCAATCTTGGTGATGGAGCCTGCTTACTGAAATGAGTTTGAGAGTAGTTTTTAATTATTAATATATTGAGGGATTGTCATACAATGCAAAAAAATACTCCTTTAATGAATTTGAAAAAAAGAGATCTTGATTCCTTCCTTTGTATTCCCCATTTTACTATTCAGGGTCGTTTGCCAAAGCAATCCCTGCTTCACAAGTACCAACTGGAGGAGTTCTCGAGTGTGACTGAAGCAGTTCGCCTTGGTGACCTACGGAGCCTTAGTGAATCATTGGACCGCAATCAAGGATTCTTCATCTCCTGTGGAATCTACCTCATTCTGGAGAAGCTCAAGATCATCACCATGAGGAATCTTTTCAAAAAAGTGTAGGCTCATATTTTAAAATGATCGAAGCTTCCCATCAGGATGTCTGATAAAACTTCATGGTACTTATATATCTTCACAGCTTTAACTGATCCATCAAGTACACAGGCATTTAAAATGTGCATTTTGAATTTACATCAATTTACTACCAATGTGAATGAATTTAGTGTTTATGAAAGAAAACATGGTTAGACATTTAGAAGTTTGGCTTACTGATTGCCTAGGCCATGTTGGCCTAGTAATCTGATTTACTTGAATATTGGGGTGACCTCAACAGGATTAAGGTGAGGCCAAGAAGCTAAAGCGACATGGACTACTTGGAAAGACTTTCCAAATGCAAAAGTTGAAATGTGAAGTTAACAAGAACCTCATTGCAAGTTCGGGGGCTCAACAGGCTTGTGCCAACCACTGAAGATTGCCATCATGTGGCTGTCTTGATGAGTGGCACAAGACCAGTGGCTCTCAAGTTGTTGGTTGTGTGCTATTTCCCATGAAGTGATATAATGTATGCTTATAAGATGGTGGGTACCTGGAATGGACCATCCCTGGCAAAGCCTGTAGGCACATGTCTCACAAGATTGAAATGAAAGAAACACTGCTGAATGTAGGCATTAGTATTACAGAAATTGAGTTTTATCAAATTGTGCCTAATGGAAGAGTTTTACATGTAACGTCATTTGGAAAATGACATTGAAGAACCTAAATATGGATAAGTTAACTTAAATTGCTTTTCTTTTTAAGCCAGTCTCTTGTCCTTGATCACAGTTTGGTTGCAAATTAATTGCAAATTAATGGCCTTCAATCTGTAAATGTCAAATCAAAGTGCAGACTACTGGCTAAATGCAGCTCTCAAAGTGCCTCAGTGGACATCCACTTTTGGCACCCCTGCTGAAGAAGAACTGTTTATTTCCTAGAATTCATTGATGAAGAATATGAGCATATTATCAGATTGACTAATGAGGTGTCATACATCCTCCCTTCAGGTACCTGCTGTGTGGCCGCCACCAGGTTGAGATTGGAGCTATTGAATCCATGCTGCAGTGGATGGGAATGGATGATGTAGACACTGCTGAGACCCAGTGCCTCTTGGCCAATCAGATTAATGATGGACTCATCCGTGGTTACATCTCCCATCAGCACAACAAACTTGTTGTCTCCAAGCAGAATCCCTTCCCACCTCTGGCTTCCTCCATCAGCTCCTTGTGATATTATGACCAAGAGTTTTCATTTTTTTTACTATGTCTTATGAGACATTCTGAATGAATGAAAGGTTGGATGAATGAGGAAAACATGAGAGAAACTTCCTCCTTCTTTATCAGAGTTAACTCTTCTCTGGGTTTGCACAGGGACTTCCAATATTGATTTAAAATGCAAACTGGCCCAAATATCTTGGACTGGACATTGAATGGGCTTCATATTTAATAGACTCGTAGCTGGAAAATGCCATGAGTTATTTTCCAAGGTTCAACTTTGTCTAATCAGACATTGTGACAGCATCATGTTCAGTATAGAGCAGTGGTACCCAACCCATGGCCCATGGGCAAAAAGGGGCCCTTGAGGTGCTTACAAGTGGCCCATGAGGCCCTAAACCACAATAAATATCCTTAGGTTTTCTTAAAATAGTCTCCTACAATACTAGTAACTGGCCCATGATGACTGTGGGAGTGAGCTATGTGGCCCCTAGCCAGAAAGGTTGGGCACCACTGATATAGAGGAACTCATCAGAGCTATATGTACTTTACAGATCCTCACCAAAGCTGTTTTACTTATAACTTATAGTCTTATAACTATTGAAGTTGGCCCTTGAGATCCAGAGATGAGTTAAAGGTCAATGGATTTGTAAATTTAAGCTTCATAATTTCCTTATTTTCAGGTGGAGATTCTCATCATTTTTTTATATTCACATAAGGCACTGATAGCATTTAGAACTGCAAAAAGGAAGGATTGGGCTGCCTTATGTTGCCCAGGGCTTGGTCTCATAGCCCATGTATCTTGCAAATTAGGAAGGCCTTTCTTTCCTAACATCTGATATCAATTAACCCTTGTCTTGCTGAGGAGACAGCATCTGTCTCCATGCTTTTTGTCAGTTTTTTAACAATTAGGCACTACAATGGTTAATATTCAGGGGTTCAGTGAATATGAAGTGAATATGTTCAGTGAATATTAGGGACAGATATAAAGTATGGTTTGTTTGCTTGGTCCTTCATAGAAAGGTTTTGACATTAGATGTTGCTAACTTCCATGTTAACCTAGTCCAGATTGATTCATTGAGTGACCTGATGAAGGATCCTGCAAGATGGCTGAGGGGGCAAAGCTTGTGCAGGCCATCCATTCTTTCAAAGGAGCTAACAATGATGAGGTCAGACATTCAGAAATGAAATGAATGTATCTGGTTTTGCTCACATGGTTCTCTTTTTCTTTTGCTAAAATGTATAGCTTGCTATGGTTTTGTCATATTTATTTAACTTTTTCATTCTGTCATGATTTTGGTAAGAATGTCAGTATTTCTGCAAATATTTTAATTTGGACGCAGTTGTGCTTCCGGAAGGGAGATGTAATAACAGTGACACAGGAAGAAGATGGTGGTTGGTGGGAGGGGACATTGCGAGGTCAGACAGGCTGGTTCCCCTGCAACTATGTTCGGGAATATCTCCCTCAGGGTCAGCCTCATTCTCCAATTGATAGCATTTTAGGTTATTGTATGCTTTGAATATTGCCACCAGGACAATTGTGTTAAACAATATATTAATGCTCTGATTTTGACATGGCAAGGTGAACACTGTTATAGGTGACCAGCTTTCTGTTTAGTGTCCAATTCTTCATATCCACCTCCATGGTTATAGGGATAGCAATTTGCAAGTTGGCATTGCTCAGTTTCAGCTGCAGTTGCAGATAAGTGTTCAAGAAACCATTATCCTTCAATCATTCACTATGGAACAGTTACACCCCTTTAGCTGCATGAGTTCTGTTCTCTATACCTGCTCCAAGCTTCAGCTGCTCTGTGAGCAAAGCACCCCAATGCTCCAAACAATGCAGTAACTAAATACTCCTACAGTTATTTGAAAATAAATTTTTATATGAAAGTTGTATGCATAATCTCAGTTTTATGGACATGTAGGACATGGTAAAGTAATTCCAGTAAGCCATTCTATGTATTTAAGCAATGATATTTCATGTATTTATTTAACATGCTGTACCATGTTTTTCTGAGAGGGAAATTGTTGCAACATTAGTATTTCATGGGAAAGTTTTGAAGCATTCCATTTTTGTCTCTTGTCATCCTGTATGTGGATTATTCAATGACAAATGGCCTCCAAACTTTGCAAAATGAAACTACTCTTTCCAATGTTTACAACATTTGGCAGATTGGGTCTCCCTGTCCTATGAGTCCAAAATTGCATTGTTTTTACTGGTTTAATTTAATGTGTGGACTTAATATTAGGTCGAGGGAGCATGAAGGAGGATGCCAAGGAGACAGACATGACATTGGCACAGAAGCAGGCAAGTCACAGGGGGCTCATCATCACAGAACTCCTTGAATCAGAAGAGGCATTCCTGGCTCAGATGGAGCGCCTCCAGAAGGAACTTCTCCACCCCCTTCGTGACACTGACATGTCAGTCTTCCACACTGTGCTCATCACTACACTCCATTAATTTGCACCCTAAAACTTTTCCCTTTCATGCTGGCTCCTGCAAGGGAATGAATAGAATTTGTCTGAAATCTCAGTTGACCGTATCTTCTCGATCTGAGCCACACTCCCACATTACATCATGTAAGGTGTTCATAGCCTCCATTATTGGAGACTCAATTTGACCTGAGTAGCAACTCTAGAGATGTGCTATTCGAGTTTTGTCTTCACCACTTGGGTTCATTAAGATTCAACATAAAAAGGAGCCCTCTCATACATAAATAAAACACCATATTTTTTAAGTATGGTAATTCCATATCAAATCTACAAGGTGGCAGCTTGACTTGCATAGATTTGCTTGAAATTAGGTACATATGCTGTCTTATGGGTTGTGATTAAAAGTTTCAGAACTCTTTCCAACAGTTTTCAAAATGTGGCTTTCCATTAGGGGTTAGGGGTAGTTGAATTTGGCCCTGCATTGTTAGCTTCTTTACTAGTAGTCTGATTAAACCCATCAATAGCTGAATTGAAAGCCATTAAATAGAGGGTTCAGAATAAGTATGTATTTTTTGCCTGAAATTAGCTTTAAAAAAAGTTTATGGCATGCAAAATGTAACCAAAAAATATTTATCCATGTGAAAAGGGGTGGAGACACCACTTAAACTGTATTGAAGCTTTGTTCCAAACTGAAAGTGGTATAAACACAGAGGTCCAATCTATCTAATTAAAAAAAAGTTGAACTTGGGTCTCCATTCTCCCCCACATGCGGAAGTCCACCCCAAAATTCTTGACAGGGGACTTGATCCAATCAGTGCAAGAGGTTAAGAATTGTAAGTAAAAAATGTGCAGTGGAATAAATGAGCAAAAGGCAAACCATCTGGCATTACTGAAAGAAACAAGGTTCCTACAACTGAAGCAAGATGCCACATAAACTGCCCTTATAGTGAGTCTTTCATGGTGGTACTTATACTTCTCAAGAAATAGTTCACCAGCTTAAGGGAAGCATAAACATCCATGCTGGAGTCTTTAATGAGTTTTTGGCTTATAATTATTAACCCTTCAAGCAGTTTTCACGTACACTGTACATTCATCACTGAGGAGGTCAGGTCAAAACTCAGTGCTTGAAGGGTTAACCTTGTGCACCAACTGGATCAGGTTCACAAACACTTTCTTCTATTAGATGAAATGTATGTAATGGCACTTCATGAATAAAAATAAGAAATAGTAGCTGATAGTTTGCCATTCAATCTCTTTCACTCCAGTTCTCCCAGTTAGGGCTCATTGGTGTCTTTCATTGATGTGCATATGAGATGTGACTCTTGATGGGCCCCATGCCTCAGATTATGCCTAATTTAAGATGGTATCAATTACTACTGTTAACAGTCTGAGTAAGGAGGAGGTGAGTCAGCTGGTGGGGAACCTGGATGAAGTAATAGAGCAGCACAGGGAGCTCATTTCTGAGGTGAAGCGAATACGGGTCTCCTTTGTCCCTTCAGAAGAACGCATTGGGAAGCTTTTTCTCAATGTGGCTGCCTCCATGAGGGATGTTCATCTGACATACTGTCGTCATCATCCTAATGCAGTTGCCATCCTGGATAAGTACAGGTGACCTTGCTCAGACAGTGCTTCATGGTGTGACTTATTTCTCTTTGCAGGCTAACATTTCAGAATTCATTGGATAATTGTGTGTTATTAGTTGTGAACTGTTACATACAGGGTTAGTATAAAGTTTCTTGACGAGTTCAAACCAGTATACCATGCAAACTATTTATCATAGAGGTGTAATATTTGGATAAATGGCCACCAAGAGTCCACCACTCTCAATATTTGCATTTCTGCATAAATATGATGGTACAAAACCACTATCTGCCCTGTCAGACAGATACATGATAGTACAGGGCCATACAACAAGCTGCCCATAGACAAATTGATCACAATTGTGAGACATTATTTTTGTGATAACAGTAATGCTGATGAGGCACAATAGCCTTTCCAGCATGAAGCAGGTAGCTGGATAGGACCCTGCAGTGGTGAAGCATGCCAACATTTGATCAAGAAAGGTAATGGGACTGGTACCATTGCCAATGCACCCCATAATGGCTTCCATCAGCCATCTTGTTGCTGTCAGATGCTGGATAGCTTTGGTCAAAGGTCTATCCATCTCCTGGATGCAAGAAATTGTAGGCTTGGGTGGGTGTCTCTTGAACACACTGTCAAGCAGAATTTCTAACATGCAAAATAAATTAATAACAATGCACTTGACAGCCAACATGTTAAGAAAATGTAGCACTTCCAGTTGGCCATTTCCTTTGATCTTACCTTCCTCTTGTAGTCTCATTTGAGTTGCCACAAAATATTACATATCTATGATGCATTGTTTGCATATCGCAACCATCCAAACACTCCAAGAAACTTGACACCAAACCTGTATTATTGTGCTGGAGAATTCAAAATTTAGTTGATGGTTTCAGGATTTACTATTGGAATATGAATTAATGCTAAAGTATTTTCTCAGTGGAAAATAAGCATTGCAGGCCTAGAGAAAGTCAGCTGATAAGCTTTTGTAAGTTTTGATGGTGTGAAATGGTATTATTTCCATCATTAATTTGCCTTGTGCAATATTGACTTTTAAGAGATTATTATTGGTCTTGTCCTGATCAATATTATGACAGCACAAATCCCTGAGACCTGACTCAGGTATACATAGATGGAGATAATCTTTGGATTGGAATGATGCATCATGTGAACCCCCAGGCAATGGAATGAATGTCTAGGCTTTTGCCTAGACATTCATTCACCTTTGTTTAGAGTCACTTTCATTCTCTAACACGAAGTGGTTATTTTATTTCAAAACATCAACTGTCAGGAAACTGACTACCTCAAAACCACACCAGTGTGTTCTGTGAAGTTTCCCAAACTTTTAGTAATTTTTCCATTAATTGAGAAGGGGGAAACTCAGAAATTAAAATGTTTTAGTACTATATGAGCGATATGAAAAATATAAATATATCATATTTACTGTAACTTCATTTTTCAACCTTTGGCCAGGTTTTGATAATTTCTGAACCAGTGCTGTGTATTGGAGTTACTTTTGTGAGACTTTCACTTGGCACATATGGATATGTTTTCAATGAATCTCCAAATTCTCTTCCATATTTATTGCTCCAAGGCAAAGCTGTGGGCAGTGTTTGAAAAGAAGTTAGGTAATGAAAATTGACTAGAGCCCACATTTGTATTGGAGTGGGGGACGTGCCCAAGCACCAAGGGGAGTTGGAGAGACCCCCCTCTTAGATCTGTGCAGAAACACATTTTTGAGGTGGAATGGCTCACAATATAGTGTATGCTTTGTAAGTAGACAGGGTAGTGAAACCTAACCTATGACACAGGAACCTGTGCAAGAGCATGACATTGCAAAATCCTAAACTTGTGAAAATGTTCTATACACCAAAAATCTCTTTCTTTTTGGGATGGATTTTGTTAATTCGATTTCTGGCCATCTCTCATTGGATCATAGTTGTCATGAGAATCCCTTTTCAGGTAATCATTCTCAACTTCTTCACTTTTTGTTCCTCACATCCCAGTTCACCCTCACTGTATTTTCCCTGTTTAATGGTCTGAGTCTTATGAGAGTTCTGGTATATATGAAGATCCTAATTGCCAATGGATGGATATGTGAGTATTAGTTCTGAAGGGATTCAGACAGACCTTTTATAACATTTTCCCTTCTATTGTGATCAGATTCTCCAAGATATTTTGAGAATTCCTGTTCTAAAATGGTAGCATTCTTTAACCATGACTCTGTGGGCTTCAACAAACCCCCTCAACTAATCTTCGGAATCCAAGAAGAGTTACCTGGATTGTTAGTAACAGAAGTACTAAGATCCAGGACCTTCCCATGAAGCTTGGAAGCTACAAAACTAGTTACATTGTGGAATCCTTATCCAATTTTCACAGTGGTGGCAACTTCATCATTTAGTGCAACAGATATAAGTCTGCTATCCTCTGTGAAAGCAAGCACATGAAAGCATGTCTTTGGATAGAATTTATTCCTAGTGCTTGAAGCCAATCTTTTTTTTGCCTGAACATTTTGGAAATGCATTGAACAAAATATTTTCTGTATTTCAATTCCTATAAATATTCTTACAGGATTCAACAATGCAAACCTTGAAACTGCCCTTCATAACTAGCAAATACTACGAAGAGAATGAACGTGAGTAGGGAACTGAAGGATATGAACAAAATCAAGGAATAGTTGAGCAGTGTGTGCACAATGCTGCCAAGGGTGAATCTGAAAACTGCAAGTAGATGGCATTATGACAGAGAAAGAGTGTGTGCAACTAATCTTGGCTTTAGCTGGTGAGGTATTGAATTGTCTAGGCCAAAATGCTCACTTTTATAGTGGAATGGCTCACTGATGTCATCACATGCACAAAATTTCACCCCCTTCCACCCTCTGACCCCACCTTGCCTATCACTCTGCTTGTATATCACCCAGGACACATTGAACTTCTCCATTGGAATTCACTCTTTTTATACTTGCCTCATCTTTCAGCTAGCTTTTATGAGCTTTATTCAGTTAATGACACATGAATAAATTAGTGTTAAAACAGAGTTTGCTTGAAGTTTATTCAGTATTTCCTCAGGTTTTCATTGATGGATGAGGCACTCAGAAGGAATTGGTTTCCCCTGTTCATTTCCTTTTTGATTTTTTTTAAATATTTGCTGTGATCTTGCTTTGGCAACATCAATTTGGATGAAATTTCAGAAGTTTGTTGGGAACATATCAATCTAAGTACATTGCAAGTTTTGTGACTACACTTGTGACTCTGGTGGGGCATAAAGAAGAAGAGAGCCAAGATTCACCCCAGACTTATAATTGATTCAAACATAAACCAATCAGTATGGTGACACCATGATAACCATTATAGCCCTAGCATGCATAAATACAATGGGAGTGAGATGGAGTGAATGTAGATTTGAAAATCTTTTATAGGGATGAGGTGAATGGATACCTGATGTCAGTGTCAGGTGGGGCAGGGGGTGTAGTACACCTGACTTCAGGTCTCAGTGCTCCATTCCGACGTCTGGAGCGCTATGCAACCATCCTGCATGAACTCCAGGGCCACATGGAGGACTCCCACTTTGACCGTGGTGATGCCCAGCGGGCTGCTGACTTTTATCGATCACTCTCGGTTTGTTCTAAGAATGCTCTAGTGTCTTTTATTGTGCATCATTTGACTGTAATTTGCTCTAGATTCAATGTGATACTTTGGGAAATCTTTCCCTGACAAATCATGCATCAAAGCCATGCAACTGAGGCATTCAGGTTTTTTATTTTAACTTCAAGAGAGATTAATATTATCTAGGCAGTTTGTTTTTTTGCTAGAAATTCAAAATCCTGATGAGCAACAGTGTCCATTTTGTGGTCTTAGTTCATGGAAGGAGATTTCCTCCAAGAACATTCCTTTCTGGTTGAAGAGGTGACAGTTTCTCAAGACTAATTGCTTTCGTTCAGGCTGAGTGTAATGCAGCAAGGCGTCAGCGGGAATTGGAGTTGGAGATCCTAAGTGGGAATGTGGAGGGCTGGGAGGGGGATCGAGTCAGTGACCTGGGTGACATCCTGAAACTTGGTCGCATCAAGGTCACAGTGCGTGGTGCCACCAGTGACCGCTTTCTGGCCCTCTTTCCAAACAACCTCATTCTTCTTTCCACCTCTTCTTCCATGAGCACCTTCATCTATGAGGTTTCTCTTGTGAAAAGATGAAATCAAGTTGTTTCCCTTTTTTTTTCATCTGGATTGTCTATCTTTAGTTGATTTCCTTGTTCTGTAGGGCAGCATCCCCCTGTCATCTGCTTCTGTGCGAGAGTTTGAGGATCCTGAGGGCAATCAGACCATGTTTCAAATCTCTGGTGAGTTCAGATTCTATTTTTCACAAATGTTCACACGCTTGCAAAATGGAATTTTACTTGGAGTGTGATTTTTGCCTCAAACAGGCTTTATTTAGACCATGGCATGTAGAGCCACATGACTATGAACCTACAGGGTATCAAGAAACCCTTTCCTCCCCCTATACAAAGTATACAACACAATGGGGGAAGGCAGTGTTTTAATCATATAAGAACCCCTTTCAAGATGAAATCATCCCAGTAATCAGTAATTTGTATTTTGTCCCTCTTGACTGCCTTACAGCTCTTATTATGCTGAACTCCTCATAAATATATGTATAACTCCTGTTCCAATTTGCCTGAGCCCACTCCTGCCCTTCCAATCTTTCATACCATCCAGGTCTCAATTTAGTCAGTGCCGTGTTTCATGCCTCATGGAAGGCAATGGCACGAATTCTACCTCATGCTCTGATCTGTTCACAATCACCAAACTTTCCAGCCATAGCATTTAGATATTTAAAGCTAGAGACTCACATCCTTTGTTAAGCAAGGAATTCAAAGGTACTACTCGTTTAGCTGTTCATGATGGGAAAAGATTCAGGAGCTCAGGTTTCTTTCAGGCCGTTCCCTGGTGCTAGGATTGAACAAATTAGGGATATGGTTGGATTGGTGGTGTGCTCTGAGTCAGCCGAGGAAGTGTCGGTGGTCCTTCATGTTGGGACCAGCAATACTCCCAAGTCTGGCTCTGAACTCATCATAGGCAGGCTATTAGGGAGTGTCAGGAGGCAAAGTTGGGGGTGTGGGTGATGGTATGTGCAATCCTGAGCCAGCTAGACAAGGGAGGAATCATGTGGTCCAGGTTGGAAGGGGTTATGTATCGCAGAGGGGGCAGTGTTTCTGGACTCTAGGGAAGCTCTGAGGCATTGTAAAAGTCTGATGGCTAGGGACAGAGTACATTTCTCAAAAGAGAGAGCTGGAGTAGTCAGATTGGTTATCGTTTAGGAAAAGGAACCTTTTTTAGGGTTGTAGGGGGGGGGAGGCAAGGGATCACAAGCAAGGGACAGCCACTACGAGCAGCATTAGACCGCCGCGTACTGGTTTACAGGAAAGGCAGGGAAGTCAAGTGTTTCTATGCGAATGCACGCAGCTTACATGATAAAATGGACGAGCTCAGGGGGAGGGCACTGGATAACAGTTTTGATGTCATTGAAATAGCTGAGACTTGGGTTGGTTCTCACTTTCCAGAAAGGAATTCGAAGTTGAAGGGTATGACATCTTGTGGAAGGATAGGCCGGCAGAAAGGGGGGAGGAGTCATGTACACTAGAACTGAACTGGTTGTTCACATCAGAGAGGATCTCACCTCGGCTAACTGTGGTGCAATCGAACACTTAAGGTGTGAGGTCGGTGGGGTAACTGGGAAGATCATGTTAGGAATCTGCTATAGGCTCCCAAACTCTTCTCTTGAGGATGAAGCAGCTTATTTTGCACTGATGCATAGGATCAGTGAGATCTTGAATCAGGCTCTGGAGATTTTCACATGCCTAACATAGATAGGTTGGTGCTGTGAGGGGGCAGTGAAAGGGATAGGGAATTTCTCGTTGCAGTTCAGGATGCTCTCGTTCAGCACGTGGAAGAACCATCTCGCAAGGAAGCTTTATTAGATTTCGTTTTCATGACGAACGATGATATGGCACTAGACGTTAAGGTACAGGATAACTTTGAAGATTTGGACCACTCCACAATTACATGGAACATCAAGCAGACGAAGAGTATTGCCTAACCAACAAGGTTTCTTACATCTAAAAGACAGCTAATTTTTTAGATACGACATAAATGTGTTCTGGCATCGACTGGGAGGGAAGGTTCCATGGGCTGACAGTAGAGGAGCAGTCTGTTCAGGACATTATTGCTGGGCTTTATGGAGGAATGCATCCCCAAGAAGTCCATGAAATCAGTCAGATGACTGGTCTGGTTTATGAGTAAAATCAAAAGCACTCATCAGGGATGAAAACTGGAAATTTGATACATACAAGCGCATGGAAGATAGAATGGACTTTGAAGAATATAGGACCATCACGAGGATGTTGTGGGAAATGAGGTCTGTGAGACAGGCAAAGGCTGGTAAGTCTCACAAGTATCCCAGGGAAGATCATGGGTGTTCGTATTTAAACACAACATAGGGAAATTTTTGCCACCTGTTTGTGGAGTTCAGCGGATGCCTTAGAGCTCACTGGGTTGCATATCTGGAAGGATGAAACCTATGACTTGTGTTTCCTTGCAGATAGGCAACCCAGTGGGCCTTATAGCGTTCGCTGCCCTCCACCTACAGGCGGCAAAATATTCCCTATGTTGTGTTTAAATACAAACACCCTGTATAGTGGTGAATACATGGAATGCGTTAGACGATGCCATAGTGGCTGCCCCTTCCATGACTATTTTAAAGAAGAAACTAGATGCTTTTTTGGACAAGCAAAAAGGGGGGCAATGCTGATGTGAGGGACTAGGCAGTAAGCAACTAGGATATGCTTTAAGAAAAAATATTAAAAAATAAATTCAGAAAATTGCAAAAAATACTTAGCTTTAAGAGAAGAGTAGATCTACAAAATTAACACTTTCGCTCCAGCGCATGTTTAAATTGCACTGTTTGCAGAACCTGGGGTGTTTTAGGGTTCAGCTAAAAATTCATAGAAAAATGAGCAGAGACAGAAACTATATTGTTAAATAATTATATTCGCCAAGTAAGGGGTTTCTTTAAGAATACATATGTATTTCAGAATTTAATTAATTAATTAAATTTGATTACTCTAAGTTTTTCTAAGTCAAAACTTATGCAAAAACTTATGGACAATTTAGTAACCACAAAGAATCCTAGATGTTGCTGGGTTCCTGTTAGCCCTTGAGGAGAACATTACTTCTTAATGCTAACATAAGAGAATATTGCAACTGAAGCTTTTTCTGCATCTTATAGGAAGAAAAACTTAGGAGTGGTCCACTACTCCCCTGTTTACCCTACTAGTACGGCATTCGGAGCGAAAGTGTTCATGAGCGCGCAACCTCAACATGTGGTATCCAATTGAGTGTAATTGCCTCTTTATACCACTAAACTACCTTGACCTTGACCTTGTCCTGGTCCAATTGCTGGGGGGGGGGGGCAGGCAGGAAAAGGTTTTTTGATGCCCTGTTCATCTATAAAGGGTATTGCACTAAAAGTTGGTTTGACATAATCTATAGATGTCTTCCAGACTTAATTTTTCTTGTGTTTTAATGAATGGAAAATCCATCCACAGTCCCACATGCAACAGCAGATAGAATCCTTGAGTGATGAGATTGATTTTGTGCATGGTTCATTTTACTACTGAGGAACCAAAGGATGTAAACCTAGGAGACATTCATTAATGTGACTCCTAATTCCTGTTAAGGAGTTTCCTTTCATGTTCCTTGATCCAGCATGCTTCACCACACCAGAGAAAGAGCCTGGTAAAATTATATATGGATATTGTATCTCATTTGTGGTCCTAATTGTTTTATATGCTAGTAACTCATGCTCTAATGACAGGCTGGCAGCTTAGATCCAGAACTATAAACTGATTTTGAGAATTATTCTCCTATTGAATCATCCAAGCTCCAGATGATTACACAGTGGAGATGTGAAGGCTCCATCAGATATAAACCCAACATCTGATGAAAAGCATCCTCACTCTCCTAGGGATGACACTAGCCTCCTTAAAGTATATATCCAAAAGGCTTTCTTTTTATCTTAATAGGAAGAGTCTGGATGGTTTATGTAGTAATGTCTTACTATTTTATTTATGTAGTACAGTATTAGTCAAAATCTCTTTATCTCATGATTCAATTGAAGCAGGGACAGAATATGTTTCTCCTGCCAGATAGTTCCATTGAGCCTGTTTTAGCAGCAATGTTCGTGGTCATGATATTTTGTTTGAAGGAAAGCTTACCAACCTGCTTAGTGGGTTTCATGTGAACTAAGATGGCAATGTCCAGGGAAGGCTGTGAGCATATTTTCAATTGGGGAATATATGTGTCCATTTTCTATTTAGTAGTAATTCCCAGTGAAAGAAGTGAGTTATAAGTATGGAGAATTAGGAGAATTGAATTTACTCCTATGGTTGTGATTATTAACTCCACAAATCCAGAGCTTCATGTGTATAGATTTGACTTTCTCCAACAAAGTCTTATGGGTGTCTCTGCATCCACTATCATTAACTGTCAGGCTACCTAGATGTGATGCCAAAATACCTTGGTGAGAGGACTTGGCTTCTCTTATCTGAAATGCTTACTGAGCTAGAACCAGAGAATACAGAAGTAAATATGCAACCTATCATCTGGAGAAACAAACCCACTGTTATGCTTCATTTACACAGATAGTAAGGTGCCATTAGGGACTTGAATTCATATGGACTAGGTGAAGATAGTCACATCTCCTACAGCTATGTGCTCTTTCTTGAGTTTCTTATAAATGAACTCCTTCTCCAAAAACTTTTTACTGTCTATTTCACAATATGGTGCCATAGTTTCTTTGTTGCTAATTTTGTGCAAAAGGAAAGTAGATCCATCACTATCCATGTCCTGACATGTTTTGATGGATGCTATTGCTTCCTGATGATTGCATTGACTGTTTTTGTTTCTATTCCTGCTAGTTTGTCCTGTTTGATACACAGAGTGACTTTTTACGAGGTTTTTCCAACTGATTCAAAAGGCAGATTGGGAAAATTAATGGGAAGAATCCATATTGACTGGTGGCATGCTTTCTTGTTGATGTGAGCCAACAACTTGCTCTAAAATCCACTTTTCTTGGGTCATACTCTCAGAGGGTTTTAAAAGAAAAAATGATCTAGGATTACAATGAGGAAGGATGTGGAGGTTCATGCGTATGAAGTGGCAAAAGTTTATTTTTCTGCCAAGTTGCACCCTCCTGTCAGCAAGAATGTGACAATTACATATCACTTTGTTTTTTTTTTCTATTCTGCCTATTGAATCATTAGGGAAAACCTTGTTTTATGTTGGAGAAACTTGAGGAATTTCATGTAAATAGAAAGATTGTCCTTTACATGATGTTAGCAAGTCTTTCAATAACCTCCTAATTAGAGATGCAACGATATTTTATCGGTTATCGGTGTCGGCCGATATTGGGTGAAACCGATATAGCGGCCTAAAACGATACATGACCTGCCGATAACCGATATTGAAGTTATACCTGAAGTATGCCAAACGCTAAGTATGGAAAGCGAATGATGAATATTCTCTCCTTTTTCTCATTAGACAACATTTCACTTGACTCGAACACACGTTCATGGGACGTTCCTCATGCATGAGTGTCGAAGTCTAGTGAAAAAATGTTCAACTCAAGTGAAAACACTGCAGAAGGTTGAAAATGCCTAAATGACATGTTTTCATTTAAAAAAATAATAAGTATTAGGCTGCTGAAAATGTAAGCATTTTTCCCCTTTGGATTGGGATTCCCCTGGGATTCGACCTTCACTGCCGCAGTTACTCAACGTCACATCTAGAGATGGGAGCGCTCCGTGCTCCGGTACTCCCTTCCCAAGCACGCTGGCGCTTCAACTAGGAAATATACACTTGACTTGGCTAGGTTCGAGCCCAGGCCATCCTGTCACGGAATTTAAGCTCATTACCCAGTCACACAAGAGAGAGATAGGAAGCCTGATCTACTTAACTTGGCGTAATGCCACTATCGTGGCCTACTCTGTACTTTCTGCGAAAATAGACATCGCTTGTGTTAGCGTGAAGAACCCAGGCCTAGATGGATCCCAAAACCTCGGTACAAAAATCACTAGACTATAGTCTGATTTCAACTGTTTCGTGCCCATTTGGAACCATCGATTTTCAAGAATTGTATCATCTTTATATTCATGTTAGGACTGTGCCGATTGCCACATTTGACCGGTAGAATGATGGCGCACTTTGAATTCATACCCATCGACCAGTGCCGGAGCCGGAGCTGATTATGATCTATGCTCTATAGATAGCGAAAGTAGCATGAAATCGCATACGAATTCAAATAGGCCTATTTGGAAGCCTTGTGATACTAATCAATGAGTCTCCTGAAAACGATAGAGACCACTTTTAGACCTTTCCAGCCTGTCTGTCAGCGTCCGTCATGGTTACCTATTGCTGATAGCGCTTAACGACACCACTCGCTAATGCACAGCATAAAAGGAGATGCAATGATTTCACGGTCTTTACAGCTATTTTCCTTCACCAGTTCCTACAATCGGGCTGATATACAGTAAGTCCTCCATTTACGTCGTGGATGCGTTCCCGGAAAACACGACGTAAAACGAAACCTAATTTCCCATGGACTAAATGATATACAGGAAGTCCTCGATTTGCGACGTTATATCGGAACGGCGCAACGTATATGGGGTATATGTTAGCGACGTTATATCGAAACGACGTAAATCGAGGACTCCTCTATAATTCGATCCACCGATATTTTTTTCTGGGAGAGGGCGGCAGGGAAGGCTTTCAGCGAGACAGGAGGGCAAGCGCCAAGCCGCGCTCACACAATCACGTTTTTTTTTTTTGCATTTTGCCCTCCTTCGGGCTTCGGCATCGACAGCTTCCAACCTTACCGTAGCCATGGCGTCAATGGTACAACACCAGAGGCCAATCTCTGTGTTTTTCAATATATCGGTGCAGCCCTAATTTATTAAAAACATTAATAATGTCATCGTTTATATTTGAATATTTATAATATAATGTATTACATAAATATATTTGTAGATAAAAACTTCTGTAATATATGATGTTAACAATTTGTCAGTCATGTCTGTCTGGGTGTCCATTAGAGGTATGAAGGAGGGAACTTTGACATTCTTGACATTTTCTGAACTGAGTGCTACTTTAAAAAAAAAGTAATTGCTATTCCACCTTATTGCAAGTTCTAGGATGGAACATAGGAAAGAAAATGCCTGATGCAATTCCAATGTAATATTTTAAAAATCCACATTGAGGAGCCTGGCTTCAGCATGAAGAAAACATTTCTTCTCTCTATTGGAGAAATGGTAAAAGCACAAGGTGCACCACTGGTGCACCTCAAGCTTTTCCCATCAGACCTGGTCCCAAATAAAACTAAACAGTGGAGGGGTTAATGCAGGAGGGTGGATTTTTGAACAGAGAACTATCCGATAATGCAGCTTTATTCTGGGGAAAATACATGATATTTCCTGAAAATAAAGCAGCATTATCGGATAGTTCACTGTTCAAAATCTACCCTGAAGGTGTGAATATGAATGTAGATATAGATATCGGCCAAAATTCAATATTGTTGCATCTCTACTCCTAATACCCAAGGGTCATTTGCTCATTATTTGGCCTCTTGGAGATAGTTGTCAGAGAACTTGCATTTTGTTTGGGTAATTTTTTTGGTAATTATAATTATGGGTCTTTGTAAATTGTAATAATTTCTAAGGTAATTATGTTGCCAATTCACAAAATGGCTTTCAATTTTCAAAATATGAATACAAGTCATCTGAAGCTTGCAAAAAATTCATTGAGGTAACTTTTTCTCTTGAAGTTGAAAATTGAAAGCCTGCGAATGTGGCCTGTGAGCATTACAAGGATGAGGAATCTGTTGTTTCAAAACCTGATTTCTTTGTACATTCACTTTCATATGGCTCAAATTTTAATATGTATCCAAACTGGCTAAACATAGATGATGTACCCTATCACTACCTAAAACAAAGTTTTCTATGCAACCCTTTAAGCAATCCCTTCTACAATAATTACTGATTAGATTGGTTGGAGGGGAAGTTTAAAATATGTAGCATAGATTTTTGCATTTGTGTTTGTTTTGTGAACCCTCAGAGGAGTTCCCTGACTCATTAATAAATAATCTTTCCTTTTGGTGTAGGTCCACTGCTGGACACCCTGGTGATAACATGCCCTACCCCTGGGGAGCGGAGTCAGTGGCTTGAACTCCTTTCTTCAAGAATGCAGGAGAGCCACGTGGCTGGAGGACCACAACTAACAGCAGAAGCTGTGAGTCCCCCTTACCTCAATCTCACCTCCCTCTACCACCAGCTGTCAATCCACAATGCCCTTCCGGCACATCTCTATGTCAACCGGTTTCGCAAGGTCTTCCCACCACTTCCACCCCCACGGCCATTGCGTCACAGTCGCACAATCTCAACTCAGACCACCTTTGAGGAGGAAAATCCATTTGGTTTCATCCACTATTATTCTCCAGCATCACATTTGATGGAGCCTCACCCAATTCTATTTCATAGCTGGGTTCGACCTGTAACATATCCAACATTTGTGGCAGAATCCCCGAAAGCTCGACCTAACACTATCACCTCAGAGACTTCTTCCTCTGACACTGGTGCCATTGCTGATGTAGATGAAGATTCAGCTGCAGAGTTTCGGGACTCCATTTTTGACCAGAAGCCCATATTACATTTTTCTACTCTGGTCATTCCTCCCAGAGTGACAGTATCAGAGATTGAGCAGTGCTCAAATCTTCCAGCTGCACCAAATTCATGTCCATTGCTACCAGCTGCAGCTCAACCATCTACCACATCTCAAGCTGCACTGAAGACGTGTAATTCATCAAATATGCTCAGTTCTTCACTCTTGCAAGCTGCAGCAGACTCATCTCCTCATTATCCAGACTCAGTCCACACTTTGAAAACTGAGCTAGGTTCAATGCAAGTACCAATCCTTTCAAGTTGCTTGAGCAAAATGGATCTGCAAAATCCAAAACCTGTTCTGGTATCAGATCAGTCTGATGTGTCATCATTGCAACGTTTTGGGCTGGATCTCTGGAACTATGATGTCCCAGAACGCTGGGCCAGTTATTTGGCACTGGACCGCACTGAAGCATTTGAGGTGAATGTCACCAATGAGGAGATCCCGTTGGAACATCCCCTTCTACCTGATTCTTGTGCACAAGAAGATGCCCTTTTGCTGTGGAAAGTGCCATCATGGCAGCCATTTGCTCCCCTGCCTTGGGGTTCATGGGCTTCATCTTTTAAACATGATTCTGGCTTGGCTGATGTGTCTCGTACCACATCCACTGATGCTGTCAGTCAGGAGAACCCTGATGCAGCTGAGCAGATGACCCCAGACAGTGACCCTGCACAGTCCCAAGCAGATAATACGGACCTTCAGAAAGCAATGCACCTCTCTGTGGTGGAGTTGAAACCTGTGTATCGGTCACAGTTATATGCCCACTGGTTCTGCTCCAGGGACCTTGTTCTTTCCTGTGACTCAGATTCAGGGAAGGATGATTCATTCATGGAGTGACTGGGCAAATTAAAGTATTTTTCCATTTCAAGTTTTTTGCAGCTACAACGTCAACAACTTGTAAAACTTCAGCATCTTTGCAATCAATGGGGGAGAAAGCTGAAAAAAATATTTTAAGAAATTCTGGTACAAGTTTTCTCAATATTGTAGTTTCAAGTGTCCAAGGAACAGTTTTATCCTCAATTTTTTAACATTTATTTATTTTTGTCAACATCTCCTCTTCAATGTCTTTGCCATTAGTTACACCTTTCAAGTTTTTTCCTTGTTAGCAAAAGATAAAATGTTTATGTATAGAGTCAATATTGAACAAATGAAATCCTGTTGCCTTATGAAGTGACTTGTTCTGAGTGGACACAGTTGTTTGTGCCAGTGGTTGAGTCCCCCCAGTTGCATTTACTTGCATTTCTTTTTTCATGTCTGGGCCTCTTTATATGATGCATAAATAATGCAATTTGCTTAGAGACAATTATACTTTGCATATGCATTAATCGAATCATAAGCCGTTTTTCTGATCTCAATTCAGTGTGTATAATGTTTGGATTCATTGCTTTTGGTCTTTATTGGGCAGAATTGGTTTTCATGCATAACTTTGTAAGTTAGGGATTTCAGGACCCTGCAGATTGCAAGTTGGAGGTTAGGGCATATTGGTGAGTCTCCAGTAGCATATTTGCATGGTCTGTCGTTTACAACTGGGTGGACCCACCTGCTGCTGCTACTCTAGTTTTCTCTCCAATCTCCTACTAACTTAGCTTTAGTAAAGATAGTTCACATCTAGGAACTTATGAGGGTGTTTGTCTGAAGCATGGAAGGATGTCAACCCATTTCTTCATATTGCACGAAGAACTGACTAGTTTTTACCTGGCCCACTATCTGAGAAAACCATAGAAGTTGAATGTTTCATGAAATACCTTCATGGCCCTATCATGGGAGAATGAAAGTTTCATCTTTCAGTTATAACAGCAGAATGGTCTGATATGCAAGTTTCTGGATTTGTTGGAGAAAAATGAAAGAATATTCTACTGGGGATTTAAAAAGTGCTAATTGGGTTGATTGACCTTGTTCTCTGGAACAGGGTAATCTCATGTTGTGAGTTTTGCATCTTGCTTGTTAGGAAAGCTCTAGGTTTTCCCTCATCACTTTTAAAACCTAGTGCTTTTTTCTTGAGATGCAACAATGTTGACTTTTGGCCGATATCTGATATACAGATAATTCCGATATTGGAAAAGAACCGATACCAATACCAATATCTTTATCTATATCTACATCTGCATTTATATTCATGCATTCAGGCATTAACCCCTCCACTGTTGAGTTTTAATTGGGATCAAGTCTGATGGGGAAAGCCTGAGATGCACCAGTGGTGCACCTCATGCTTTTGCCATTTCTCCAGCAGTGAGAAGAAATGTTTTGTTTATGCTGAAGCCAGGCTCTTCAATGTGGATTTTAAAATATTACATTGGATTTACATCAGGCATTCTCTTTACTTTACTTCATCATAGAACTTGCCAGAAGGTGGAACAGCTATTACATTTTTTTTCTTCTTTTTCAAAAATAGTACTCAGTTAAGAAAATATCAAGAATGTCAAAGTTTCCTCCTGACCTCCAATGAACACCCAGAGGGACATGTCTGATGGATTGTTAACACATCATCAGATACTTTGCCATGCAGATGAAATGTGAATATAACTGCTTTTTCAGGAAAATTTCTTAAATGATTAATCATATTTATTATATTACAGTAGTATTTTATTTACAAATATATTTGTATAAATATATACACTTCCCATCTCTCTCTTGGGTGACTGGGTAATGAGCTTATGTCCCATAGAGTCCCTAGGCTCGAACCTAGCCAAGTCAGGTGTATATTTCCTTGTTCAAGTGCCAGCATGCTTGGGAAGGGAGTACCTGAACATAGAGCGCTCCTATCTCTAGGTGTGGGACGTTGAATAACCACTGGAGTGAAGGTTGAAGCCAGGTGGCATATCCCCAGGTTATTATGGCAGTTAAACCAAACTCTAAAAAACGTTAAACCTCTATCACAGTTGGTTATGCCTACATCACGTGCTTGCAACTGGTCGCAAGTTGTCACTGGGAGATACTGATTGTCAAATAGGGGTGAAGCTTCAGTGCCTTGCCGCCACTCCCAATCCAAAGGGGAAAAAAGCTTTTCAGCAGCCTATTACTTATTTTTTAAATGAAAACATGTCATTTAGGCATTTTAGACTTTCTGCAGTGTTTTTCACTTGAGTCAGACATTTTTCCGCTTGACTTCGACACTCATGCATGAGGAATGTCCCATGAGCATGTGTCAGGGTCGTGTAAAATGTTGCCTAACTCTAGTGAAAAACACTAATGAGAAAACGAGAAAATATTCATCATTCACTTTACATACTTAGTGTTTGGCATACTTCAGGTGTCATTTCAATATTGGTTATCATCAGGTCATATGTCGTTTTGGGCCAATATTAGGTGCCGATATATCTGATTCACCCAATATTGGCTGATACCAATAACCGATAAAATACTGTTGCATCTCTACTTTTTCTGAATATGTGATGAGAAAGAACAGTAAAGAGGTAATGCTGTATGCCTTAGGTGAAGTGCATGTTTTGTGCCATTTCCAGGAGCCATTGGGAGCCTACACTTATCCCAAACCTACTGTTACTTACTGCTGCTGTGGTTGTCAATTGGAGAGCCACATTATTCCCTTGGACCAGGGCTGCATGATATTCTGTTAGGGTAACTTGGGGGAATATGGACACCAAAAATGAAATCAGGTTATAGCGTCACGTCTAGGTGAAATTAAACTTTGCCAATATTCAGAAAATATTGATTGATGTCTCCTTTATTTATTCCCAACAAGATCCGTGCAGAAAAGTAAATGGGAAAAGAGTATTTGGGACCTCTTCACATGGGTCCCAAGAGGCCATATTACCCCTATTGTTNTATCCCGAATTCCTGTGGGAACTGGATTGATGAACAGGTCTACACATTTCGACAATTGCATGTACTCTTCGATAGAACTATTTTTAAAATTCGCCCAAACTAATTATTCAGTCTATAAGGGGATTCCTTGTGAAGGGCCATATTACCCCAATGGCCATATTCCTCCAAGTTACCCTATAGCAGAAAATTCACAATATGGAAATTTGATGAGAATATTGTTCAGTTTTATGCAAATTGATATTACCATCAACAATTCACTCAGTCAAATATTGACCTCGAACTCTTACATTTTCAGGTTAAGCCAAGTCATGCACAATATGAAAATGAAAAATCTGTACAAGGCCACAATTTTCAAGTCCTCCTTAATATTTTGAGATGGACCAGCTTGCTTCTGTCAGCAACACCCCAAGATAGTCAGCATTCTGAAAGGAAAACCTTCAGTTTGCTGTTTATGTGGCAAATAAAGGAATAATTTCTATTCTTTTATCATTAATCTCCTGAACCTTCATTAAACAAATCTAATGTAAAGGTGAAAAAATAATTGGAAATGTTTCAATCTTTGAGGAAAATGTCGTATACTGTCATTATCCCCATTATAATTGCCATGAAGATGATGTGTAAGATTTAAGCAGAAAGGGAGATAGCCCTTTGAATTTTTTTTTTTTTTACCTGTGCCAGGCTTTGCCCAATTCTACTCCTACTTCCCATTTTTCATTCTTACTTCACATAGAGCTTCTTTTCCTTTTTTTTCCTTTGTTCTCTACTCCTTACCCCTCCCTTGGTTTTAGATCAATCTATTATCGAAGGCTTTTTATTTATTTTTCAAACCCTGCGTTTACTAATTAAATTATCATAAACTTACATTTTTGAATGAGCTAGAGCAATGCAGAAATTTTATTTGCTTCCTGCTTATTGCCCATGCAATGTTTGAATATTTTTTTTTTGTGTGGTGGTTAGAAAGTCGCATCTCTCAACCATAATTAATATTTTCTAGTTTTGTGCAGTTGGGAATGGAGTGATGCTAGTGTATGGTTCATGTTTTCCATAGTGTCATATATATTGATATTGGTAATGTAAAATTTGATATTGGTCATTATTGTCTCCTTGGGTAATTTGCTGAAAATAGGTGGTGGCTCCAGGGTCAGGGGAAAGTCGCCATGCAAGTGTGCCCATATTTCCTGTGACCCGCAATGCCATGTCTGTTGCCACACCCCCTGGTGGGACCTTCCCCATCCCTCGGCCCCATGGTCCTTTGAGACCCTCGATCCTCATACAGGGTGACAACTACCATAGGAAAGGTAATGCTTTCATATACTATGTCATGGTGTCATTCTGTTTGCTTGCACATTTTTAGTGTATTTTTTTAATTACTCATTCACATTGTTTTTCTGAAGTTTTCATGATTTTTCCCTTTGTGTTCATGTCATAGTACATATTTCTGTCTGACATTTTCCACAGTAGCTTTTCATTATATTTTGTGACAGTAAATCTGAGATACTTATGTGTATGTGCTTATATTCAGGTCATGTGTCTATTTTGTCATTTTGCTTTAACTTCAGTTACAAAGAATGATGAGTTGGAGCATGTGTTCCTGCAGATCATCAAGGAGTACTTGCCCACCCAACTTCATGTGGGATCAGGTAAGCTATGAATTCTAATTCATTCTTACATGAATTCATAAATTGGTTCCATTTTGAGCAGTAATGGTATGTCTGGGCCCTAGGTACTTCAACCGAACGTCCTCCACTCCTCATTGCTGAGGAGGAGAAGATTTTCATTGATGATGGCACTGGAATACAAGAGAGGTAAGGTGAAATTTGAGATGAAGTTAATTTTATATATAAAATAAAGCTTACACATTTGAGGAATTGTAATGATATTTTGACTCAGCTTAAGACTGTTCATTGAAAAATACTGTTGAAGTATATTGGAATACAGGAATACACATGCTAAATTAAATATACAGGTATGTTGCTCTTCTGTTGAGCATAGAACTAAGGTTTCAAACTTGTCCTCATAAACATGGAAAAAAAATGACAAAAATCATTTGGGTAGGTCCCTGGTGGATACTGTGTATGGATTGAAGGACCGGCTGGAAAGTGTGGAGATGCAGCTGTCCCACATCATTCAGGTTCTAAAGGACAATTTCCCCCAGATTGGCAAGGCCATGCCATCCCTTGATTCCCTGTGATTATCTTGTCTTTGCCTTCATGTTCTTGTGTATCATGAAATCATGGAATAAAGTTGAGATTGTCTATTGGCTTGTCTTTGTCATGCCTGGCTTGTGAGAGGGACTGTAACATGTAGCAGCTGAGTGACAGTAATGTCACCAGAGGAAAAGGGATCCTCTCTTCAGTACTTACATGTTCTTCTGTCATGGGTTGTATCTTAAAAAAAATACACAAAGCTGTAAGTGCTACCAAGTGATAGCCAAAGTATGAATCATTCATCTAGTTGACTGTGTTCTTTAAATAAATTCATCTGAAGCAAAATGTATAAAATTCATGTATAATGTTTGGATTAAAGTCTCTTCTCAGATGATCTGCTGACATAGTTTATATACATGGTGTGCCAAAAAAAGTACCTGATTTCAAAATGATATTACTGGATACAAGATAGGATTGAATAATGAAATACATTAAATGGGTAAAATGCAAAAAAAAATTTTTTCCTAATTAACCCTTTCTTCAGTTGCAGGTTCAAAATGCCTCAATTAAATTTACAAAAAAGAATCTTTATTATTGAGGAGCATGTCAAAACTCAATAAATAATTATCTTAGCTGTTGGCAAATCACATCCTGGAAACTCCTTTCTGATTGCATGCTGTCACTGTTGAGTTTTGATATTCCCCTATATATTCTCCATCTCTATGGAGTCTCGTTTGGAATTTTTACATGGGGATTTTCCATATCAATCATGTGACATCCCAAAAGATGTCAAGTTTGAAGCTGCTGTAGATCATGGATTCAATATTTCTTTTTTTTCTAAACTGGCATTCAATGTTTCTGAAATTCTTACTGTGAATTCCCTAAATGAAATGGACACTTTGTGTTTTGGGTTCTCATGCTTGTAATTGTTTATGTTCTAGGAACTAAGAAAAAGGCTTGTAAGGCTGGGTTGGTTAGGTGTACTCCAAATTTTGATTTCTCTATAGCAATATTAGATTAGTCTCTGGTGCAAAATTGTTTGTATAACAATTGGTTTGTCTGTGTGTGAAAAAATGGACTTAAGGGCTCAGACATATAGTCTTTTATGGGTACATTTGTCCAGCACTAGTTAGTGAGGTAGAAAATATGTTATGCATCATCTAATGATAGTCCACAGACTATTTTAAAATGCAGCGAAATGTAAGGGACTGCTTGTTGAGGAGGGGGTGGTTGTGTTGAGGTGTGACCCTCCCATGAATTTAATGCAGGAAAATATTAAGTCAAGTCCCAAGTGCCCTCTGCCTCACAGACATTGAAGATTCAATTAAGCATTATTGAAGATCTTATGAGCTTTTGTTGAAGTAGATTCTAACTATCTATTCTCTCCATTCCCCAACCCTTGCAAGTTTCATTAACTGTGAGGGGATCACAATTGTACTGGTCATACAATCTTCGATTAACACGTTTGCTACAAATGATGCACTTTTCTATGGAAAGGATAACGAGGTGCGTCATCAGCAACGAACGTGTTAAAGAATTTTAAGATTTTAATTGTAAGTTCAATGCCCTTGACTACAACAGTGGTTCATATGCTTCCTTATTACATTCAATAAGTAGGGTGTTACACCCTACTTTTTGCTTGTAATGAGGAAGCTTCGTAATTTGTTTTGTGCTATAATAATCTAATAAAATACATCTAAATTAACTTGCACTTAAATAAGTTAATTTCTTGTCTGATAAAATTATTTGTAAATTGAACCAAAACTAATACCTATGTATTAATCTTCTGCAAACATTCATTTTGCTTCTTGCCATAGACTTCATTGGAAAAAATATTTCAATTTCACTTCATAAGAAAAGGCTGTGAAAATAAAATTACTTTGTCTTAGAGCATGGATGGCCAACCTTTTTGCCAAACTGGGCTGCATTGCCCTTTAAGGGACCTCCTGCAGGCCAAAATACCTAGTTTTTTAACATTAATATTACATTGACGTACATATTCTGTAAACGCTGTCGTCCGTAGGTTGGGCACCCCTATCTTAGAGAATGGTTAACTGTTTGATGTGCTCATTGGTCATGTCTCTCTTCACCTTTACAGAATCCTGTGCAATCCATGATCTCAATCTAGTTACCACTTGCCATAATTACCTCATCTGCAGCATAAAGAGTTGGGTTTGTGAAAACACAAAAATAGGAAGGAAGATGAAATACATTTTAGTGACAGGAGGTGTGATATCAGGGATAGGGAAGGGTGTGATTGCATCTTCAATTGGAACCATTCTCAAGTCCTATGGCCTTCACGTCACTTCCATCAAGATTGATCCCTATATTAACATTGATGCCGGCACCTTCTCTCCCTATGAACATGGTTTATTTCTGCTTTTCTTTCTTGCCCATCCAAATATCCAATATTCTCACTCTTCCTCTTGAATATTAGTTTGATATTTTTGAGTGGCACTTCACTGTACACTTAAAACTGGAGAAACTATCCAACTTTTTCTGATGAATAACTGAATAATTGAATGTTAGGAAATATTTTGCATGAACATAGAAAGTATGCTTAATATACAAACTTGTGTAAAGTCCATATTTAGTATGATAGGTGAAGTTTTTGGTGCAAACTGAAAAGAATGAATGTGTGATACATAAAGTATTGCAGTATCAAGTAGAAGTAGTGTGGATAGGCAATAGTTGCTCTGTGTGGCAAGTACCTGCATTTTTTTGTGTCCAATGGGAGTTGAGGTAACACAAGGAAAACATGGAGTCCAAGATTGCCATTTTAACAGAGTCATTTGCATGCTTTGTTCATGTTTTAATAACCAACAGCTTCAATTGTTCATCATCACTATCTTCTTAATCCCTGCATGATTTCAGGTCCTAAATGTGAAGGATACACATACTAGATAGATTCCAAAATCTCAAAGTGCTTAAAAGTTGTCAATGTAATCATGATTTTGTAAGTAAGTGTAAATTAAATGGTTCTGAACATGTCTTGCAATTGAGCGGAAATTGGAGGTGGTATCAAACAGTGATTGGTGGAGTTTGCCATAGGGTGGCTTAATAGTTGTGAGAGAATTATTCATGAATATACAAAATCCTTGATAGGTGAAGTATTTGTGTTGGCGGATGGAGGAGAAGTGGATCTGGACCTGGGGAATTATGAACGGTTCATGGATGTCACCCTTCACCGGGACAACAACATCACAACAGGCAAAATCTATCAATGGGTCATTGAAAAAGAACGTCGTGGCGACTACCTTGGCAAAACTGTTCAAGGTCTGCATCTCACCATAAAGCATGTTTTGGAATAGTATATAGAAAATGGGGAAAATTTTCTGAAAACTGATATTTATATATATCTAGTCATATTACTGTTTCTTCCTTGAATGGTTCATTGAAGCCCACTTTTTTCTTGCATTTGACTGTTGGATTGCTCAACTAGTATATATACAATGGCAGATCTTTTGATCCAAATGTGAAGATGACAGCATTGACACCTGGTGCTAACGAGATTGAAGGTTTGGGTTTTCATGTCAAGAGGCATTTCTGCCTGTACTGAAATTCCAAGTTGAAGTCAACTGCTTACTCAACTGAGGATAGATATTTTTTGAAGAGAGCATCCATGTCCTGTCTGGTTACATCTCTGTTGCTTCCTTTTTTTTTGTTCATGACAATGAAGGCATTAAACACCATATTAGAAGGAGGCTTCATCTTCCACACATTCACTACTCTGCAAGTAAAGAAGAAGCATAATTTGAGTCTCACTTTAGGTATACAATCCTTGAAGTGGTTCCCCTTGTTTTGCCTTTGTTGTTGCCATCATATTGAGGAAACTCACTTTACTGCACATTATTGCCTTAAATGATTTACATATCAGGATGATATGCCCCTTATCAACCTTATCTGTTGCAAATATAGTTCCATTGCATCTAGATGTCTTCAAAACTGAAGAAAAACCCAAGAGATGTTCATGCTTTAAGCCTGTACTGGGTCTTTTTTTTCCAAATCCAGGAAAATTTGAAAAAATTGCTGAGAGCAGCCACAGTATATATTTATGATCCAGTTCATTAGCTATACTGAATAGGCGAATTAGGAGCTTCTTTTTCATTTGTGTTCATCTCATGATAGTATTTCCTTTCATATTTTGGATCATCAGGTTCAGATCTACTTGTAATAAGTTTTTCTTGATGGTCTAAGTATCAAACTTTAACAATGTACCAGGTGTTGCATATAGATAGCCCCCCCCCTCCATAGCCTAAACTATAGGAGGTAGGAAAAAAACTCATATATCATGAAAAAGAGCATTCATTTTCGAATCTAAACATGTACATCTCATAATTTGTATGCACCCTGGCTCTGTCTCTGAGAGCTTTAATAGGAGCAGGGGAAGATGAAAAGAGTCGCTTAAAGAGTTCGGTGTCATCTTCCACGTCCTTCAACACCCTAGTGATGTCACTTTGCAAGACTTCCCAGAAGAATCCATGCTGCTTGCCCTCCATGTGCATGAGCCTCAACTTGGTCTTTCAATGTTCTCAGCCACATTCAGATCAGGAGAGTTTCCTGGCCATTCCACATTTCAACAACAAAAAAAATCAACCCCCAAGTCTTTCAGCAATTGCCATGTGATCAAAGCTTTGAAAAACAAGGCTTTATCAGACAGAAGCTGAACAGTTAATCTTTTTCGAAACCCATGAATGGGTAATGAATTCAGCTCTGGCATCATGAGCTCGAAACGTAATAGCATGGATGGGATCAATGAATTTAAGTTCTTCACCATCATATGACATCAGAAAAAAAAAACAAATTGCTATGGAATAGATTCTAAATTGAACAAGGATTCCAAATATATCAAAAATGTTTTCCTAGTTCCTATAGTTTAGGCTGTGGAGGCTATCTATGTGCAACACCTGGTATATCAAATCATTTTTCCAACTTTTATTTTCTGAATTTATAACCTTTACTATCCAGGATATTTCAGTCAATCTGCAATTGGCAAAAAGTAATTAACAATTAATGAATGATAGATTCAAAATAGTGCTGCAAGTTTGATATAATTCAATAGGTTGATTGAGGAAAGACCTGAGGAAAGAAAATATTGAGTGATTCAGTTTGAGTTTTGAAAGAGTTGAGTTGAGTTGAGAAAAAGGATTGAGGCACATTTGGATAGAATCAAATGGCATATACTTGGAAAGGTGTTCATCCAGCAGTGGACAGAAATTGGCTCCTGATGATCTATTATATTTATTCAATTTTTCTGCAGCAATCAACATAAATGAATCTACTTCAGATTTCTCTATTTCAATCATTATTAATTGATTGTTAATAGTTACCTAAATTTCCCCTTCAATGGATCCTATCCTGACAAGGTGATTGACTTTGTTTAAATCTACATAGATCGGGTTTCCTATGAAACTGAAGAATAGTTCGATGGATTAGGAGATAGGTTACTAATGTACTACCATGTCAGTGATGATGGTGTTATTCCACTCAGAGTTTGATGAAGTGGTAGCCCAAGAAAAAGCAGAAAAAAGTTAGTGTCGATTGGTGGCCCAATTGCCAGTGTGATCTCAGTGTTGTAAGTGGGAGAAACAGTTATTTTCTAAGTGAGACACCTGATTGTTATAAACTAGGTAGGTCATTTCATCTTCTCAGAAAGATTTTTCCCCAATTTTAGTTTTTTTTAATTGGTTTGCTAACAAATATTTATTGTTTTTGGCTTGAACAGTGGTGCCACATGTCACAGAAGCTATCCAAGAGTGGGTGGAGAGGGTGTCCCATACACCTGTCACTGAAGATGGCCAGCAACCTGAGGTTTTTTCTCCCTTATGTACCTTTCTAAATGCAAATAGTGACGTTGCCAATAAGTGTTAGATGACAAGGTTATTGAGGTTCATTCCAGGTGTGTATAATCGAGTTGGGTGGTACAATTGGGGACATTGAGGGGATGCCATTTGTGGAGGCCTTCCGACAGTTTGAATTTCGTATCCGCAAGGAGAACTTCTGCTGCGTTCATGTCTCTCTGGTTCCCAAGGTTTGACTCCAATTCACTCTTCTGTTTTTGAATTTTTTAGATTTGCAAATGGACATTTATGATGTGACTCCCATCAAAGGAACAGCAACTTCATGACATTCATATATGCTCCTAAACTTACCTTGTTCTCCCCAAGACTTCCCAAGAAAAATCCCTTCCAAGGCAAAATCCTTAACATGGTGTTCATTTCCCACTCTGCTGTAAGAAATCATCCATATAGCCTACTAGCATAGATGGAGCTGACTCTCTCATGTCTTTGGCAGAGACAAACCAAGACCTAAATTTTGGAATTGTTTTGCTGATCAGAATGAAGTTATCATGGTGTTTCGGCTACTCGCGACAGGCCTCCTTTAATTTTACCATTTTTTCTTATCAGATGGAGGTTGTGTGAATCTGCACATGCAGTTACTTATTATTCCAGACTTCTGGGTTCTAGAAATTTATCTGGATAATTGAAAACCTGAATAAATGACCACTAATTTCTTTTTTTTGTGGAAAGGGATACTCTGAGATCCTCTGTCTCCAGTGTGCTTTCATTCTCTTTTTTTCATGCAAATGGGTTTATCAATAACATGGTTCTTTCCACTAGTCACATTAAAGAAACCCCCAAAAAAGGTTTGCTTTTGATTTTTCATTAAAGACTGCTGTGTCAGACCATCCTGAGAGCACCCACCCATGAGGGAAGGGGAGTAAGAAACTTGATGATGCCTTAGGGATGATGATGATGGATGAGGCTAACTGGGAAAGGGAAAATGAATGCAAAAAGTTTTTATGGCAGGAGCAATTCCTATTGCCTGATTCCAGGAAAGCAGAGAGATGAAAGGAAAGTTAGAGTTTTTTTCCCATCTATTTTTAATTCCTTAGGTAAAAGTACTGGGTAAGGCAAAGTACAGCAAAAAAAAGCACACCACTCTTTGAGATAGCAGATGATGTTCATGAGATAGCTCAACAAGATTTTTTTTTGCAACAACTTCTCTGTACCCTTTAAATGTCCTAGCATTCATGTTCATTTTTTTCTGCAGCTGTTTCAGCACATGAACAATAACATGAAGACAACTTGTGTTTTATTTTTGCACTGGGAACTGTATTGGCAAGAGAGTAGTTGGTATGTGTTGAGCACACCAATATTAGGCAAGAGTTCCTCTGTCTGCCTGTGAAAGTACTGCTTTGTGCAAAAGGATGGAATGGGCAACAACTTCCTGGTAAAAAATAATTGGCCTATTATTAAGAGACTGATTCCCAAGCTGTGAGAAATCAGTTCATCAGAGGATGAGAGGGAGCAAAAGACTAAAACAAACCAAAACTGAAGGAAACTCTGTTCTTGTGGAAGAAGTCATTTTTCATGATGATACTCCAGAGATGCAAAATTCTCATCAGTGAATTGCCAAATGTAAGGACACATTAGAGACCGGGGGCCGTATTCTATTAAAATCTTAAACTTAGTTTAAGCAAATTGCTCAACCTCGGCCATGCATTTGAATGGAGCAAATAGCATCTAATCACCTTGCTAAGAGGAAAATCGCACTTAAGAACGTAATAGAATACGGCCCCTGCTCAGTTGATTCTGAAGTGCAGGAAAGAGACCCCTTGAAAAGAATTGTCATTTCATATCAGTGAGGCAGGTCCTCCTGTCAGTGTCCAGGTGTGAGCGTAAAAGTAAAATTCCAGTTACTTTCATAAATTCACTGATGGTAAAACAGCCAGAGGTATGACAGGCAAAAATATTAGGATGCTCAAAGGTCGCATAGACATATGTATGAAATAAATTTGTTGTGCTCACTGCTGTTTCAGAGGTGCAACCCATTTTTAAAGAGCTTCACTTTTTTTTAACTTCACATGGTAAATGGAAAGGGAGTGGGAACTTTTTTTGTTGCCATATTTCATCTCTTCTGCTAGCAAGTTAAGATTAATTGGAAGAATTGTCCAGGAGATGAGTGAATCCAGGAACCAGCAAGTTGTTGGAAAATCAGTTTTTTGTATGGAGAAATTTTCTAACAACAATTTTTTTAAATCGAAATTTCACAAACAACAATATTAATTTCAAATCATATTTGTTTATAAAGTCCCTTTTTTCTTCCGGGAAGTGCAGTACAAAGTACAGGAATGAGTGGCTCATCTGGCACACAATCCTAGAAAATCTCCCTCGGTTGAAACAGCTAGATTCCCAATTTCAGATAACCACTAATCCCGGAGTTTACAGATTTGACAGTTGAGTTATTCTATCCTGGGAAGGATGACATCTCAATAACGACCTGAATTCCAGGAAAGCACTATTCTATTCTAGACTATACAGTCCTGCTTCTACCCTCACCTCAGTTGTAATCTTACTGTGCAAGTGTAAGAGTGTTGGTATGGCGTTGAAGTTTGTGAGCAATGAGAAAAGAAGGCATAAACTGCTCCTTGATGGTCATTTATGCTACAAAGGCTAGCAAGTGCAGGAAAGTGTTTATTGGAAGTGGGAAAGATTTCGAAGTATAAAGTGTGGAGCACAAGGTATAACAGAAGCTGACAGTGTTTTGATGAAGAGGAGTGAACACGATCATGTAGGGGATGCTGCTCACGTGGAAGCAGAGAAGGTAATGACAGCTATTCCTGATGCAGCAAGAAACACTCACGATACACAAACCTATATTGTGTCTTCCACGTCGATTGGAGCCAGTCAAGGTGCTGCAGCAAAACTACCTACTGTGTTGAACATGAAATGAACATTAAGGAATGTGCATGTGAAAGAAAATGCTGGACCAGCTGTCCCGATTTTCTGTTGTGATGTGTTTCCTGAGGAGTACAAGCAAACTGAAGAGGAGAAGAGTTCCTACTATACGACTCTGGACCTCAAGATGACCACATACTCATATTTTCTACTCAGAGAAACTTGCAGCTTCTTAGATGTTCTGAGCACTGGTATGCCAATGGCACTTTTAAGATTGTTCCGCCTCTATTTGAGCAGCTGTATACCATTCATGGGGTGGAAGCCAACAACTCCGTGCCTCTGGTATATGCACTTCTGGGAGACGAGGAAAGAAACGTACGTCCAACTGTTGAGGAAGGTGAAGGAGTTGGAGTCCACTGCTGATCCTCTGACTATTATAACTGACTGAGATGTCAGTGATAACATGGTCAACAGTGAGTACCCACAAGCAATCCATCATGGCTGTTTTTTCCATTTTTGCCAGTGTATATGGCAGAAAATACAAGGAAACAGCTTGAAAGAATGTTGCCAGAATGATGCCGAGTTTGCTCTAAAGCTTCACATGCTTCCTGCTCTGGCTTTTGTTCCAACTGCAGAAGTCATTGACACATTCGATGCTCAGTGCGACAGCAATGTTTTGCCCCAAGAAGTGCAGCCATTTATAGATTACTTAGAGGACACATGAATTGAGTGAATGAATTGGGTGTCCAGGCCGTTGTCAGTGTCACTGTCCTCCAATTTTTCCACATTGAATGTGGAACTGCTATGATGACGTGCCTCAGGGGTTGCCCAAAACCAATAACAATATCAAAGGATGGCACCAAGGATTTCAGCAACAAATCTCTGGAAGCCACCCCAGTATTTGGAAGTTTATTTCTGGAATCAAGAAGGAGCAGAGCCTGAATGAGGTTCGCATAGAGCAGTACACCAGTGGCTAGGAACCACCTCAGTAAAAGAAATATTGGGACAGTGCAGAAAGGTTGAGGTGGGTTGTTGGTGGTTGGGATCAAAATGTAAACATTTGTGACTACTTGTGTGGAGTTGCACACAACATTGGATACTAATAATCCAGCTAAAAAAGACTTGTGGAATGATTTCAAAAAGTTGTTGTTCAAAAATTGTGTCACTTGAAAAACTTTTGGTTTGAAGAATTTGTCATTTGAAAGATTGATTTTTGAACACTTAACCTAGAATCAGTGAATCCATCCATCTAAACAGGAGCTACAGAATGATGGTGTTTGTGTACTATCTACTGACTAGCAATGATTACCTGAGGGAGAGGATGATTGCTTGATAAATACATGGACAACTAAAGTTGTTGAACATATTCAGGAGGTTAAAATTCTGATCTTAATATAGGTTCTTTAGAAATTCTGCCAAGGCCATTTCTCTTATCCCAATGAACTGGACCACTCCAGTATTCAATTGAAGGATTTTCAAGCTATTTTCCAGCTGCATATCTGCTAATTCAGCATGTGACAGCTATCAGAAGTTTGGTGATGTAAGCAGGCTGGAACAAGTAGGGTTAATTAAAAATTTGGAGCTATATCTCTTTGCAGCCGAAGTCAACTGGGGAGCCAAAGACAAAGCCAACACAGGCAAGCGTCCGTGAGCTGCGCCGACTGGGTCTTAGTCCTGATGTCATTGTCTGCCGCTCTGAACACCCTATTGACATCTCTGTCAAGGAAAAAATCTCAAACCTCTGCCACGTTCCTGTTCAACAGGTCATACAGTTTCTATCAGCTTTTAGCAATGACATTGCATTTCCATTGTGCCTATGGTAAGTTCTTGGGATTCTCTTAACTTTGCACCCCATATTACACTATAATGAGTGCAATTATGCATGGCTCAATTCCATGGGGGCCTTCTCTCACCCGTCAGTTTTGGAATCTTCAGTTATGTAATTACATGCATTATATATAATATATGGTATGGTGTGGTAAATTTATACTACAAATAAAAACGAAATATAAAACATAAAAATTTTAATTAGAATAGCAAAAGAACTCAAAAATGCAAAAAATTATATTACTCCAATAGTAGCCTTTAATTCAGGTCTGAAAGGGTTAAGCCAAGCTGTTGGCATAAATTTTCAGAATTCAATTACAATTACAATTGACAGAAAAGTGATAATTGAGAAGTATTCATGCCTCAAATCATGCATCCCAATCCCAAGCAGAGTGCTTATGTCTGCCTTCAGTAAAAGTCTGACACCACTGGATATATATCGAATATGTGCACATATGTATGCCATGATAATTACATTTTTGCAGACAGTTTAACAATTTCATCTCTTTCTTCCTGAAGATATTTTTCTTGAAATATATATCACCATTTTGAACCTCATGCACATCCTATCATCATCTGATAACTTGAAGTCAATTTGCAATTATCAATCAGGAGACTTTATTTTAGAAGAAAACAAAGACTTTTGATTATGAAGTGGGAGATAAATTTGCAAGGCAATGCATCATTACAGGTTGTATCCATCACAGACTACAGTTCCATCTACCGAGTTCCCCTGGCTCTGCAAGAAGAAAAGGTTGCCTCATATCTTCTCCAACATCTCCAGATGGAGCCTACGCCTTCTGTGCATAATTTCATCAGACAGTGGCGAAATCTAGCTGACAGGTGCCAGAAATATTCTTTTGTGACATTCACCTCTGTACTGTTCAATCCATTAGAACAGCATGTTACCTTTGAATGAAATATTTTTGAGTCCTGAACACTTTATTTCCGTTCTTGGTAAGATTGCTCACATTATTCCATTTCACTTCACTTGTGATATGCTGTTTACTTTGGTTTTGTATTTCTTGATGAAGCTGTCAATTTTGTCTGAATCCACTTGTTTTGCTTTTGTCCGATTTTATCCCCCTGGCCATTGACATCTTTTGCACATTTCAATTCTAAGGTTCATTTGTGACTGCTGTTGCTTCAATTGTGAATCTGATGCTTTTCTATATTTAATGCATTCTTTTTTTTTTTCTGTACTAATATCCATGCAGAGTGGAGCATTTGAGGAAGGAGGTGAGCATTGCATTGGTGGGGAAATACACACAATTGGAGGATGCATACATATCAGTCACCAAGGCCCTTCAACATGCTGCCCTCTGGCTTGATCGCAAACTCTTCCTCTACGTGAGATACTTTGTCCTTCCATTGTGATTTTTTTTTCATATTCCCCAATCCTTTGACAATTGAGCAAGTTTTCTCTGCATTACCTCATCTCATGACCTCAAAAATTTTCTCTATTTTTCTGCACATCATTAGGTGTTTCCCTGCCCTGTTTCATTAATAAATATCTATTAGATGACAGTTTCAGACAATCAGTATGGCCTCATGGCCACCATTGAAACTGGATTGCTTGCCAGGTTTTCTTTGTGAATATTCACCCCACACACTTGAAACTCAATTTTAATCAATCAATTTTATGGTTTCCTAGTATGAGCTTGCGTATAAAATTTCACCAAAATCAGTCAACTCCTCAGTCATACTTTTCTTTTTGGCAGTGAGTGTAATTACAGTGTAGTCTGTGTACCATGTGTGTCCTGTTTCTTGCCTTCCAAACTTGGTCTGTTACTCCAGTCCTGAAATGAAACCATGTATTAAATGTACCACTCTGTACTAAAAACAAAAACAAAAAATAATAATAATAATAATAGAAAGTCCTCTTTTGATCCTCCTTTTTGTGATACTTGAAATTTTCAAAGTTCCCGAACTTCAGATGGAGGAGGTGCTATCTTGAAACAGTCCATTCTATTGTCTTCAGATTTTACTTGCAAGGCATTCCAGTAAATATTTGTTCAACCAAGCTTGAATCTGAGCACTTTACACACCCAATTGGCTGGAAAACTGAAACCTGCAACTTTGCAACCCAAAGGCATGTACAAGGGGGAATAAGTGCCTTCCTTTTGATTGCAACAGCTGCAGATTCCCACACCCAGCAAAGTTTCCACCCCCACTCCTTGAGCTATCATATTAAATTTACTATTTTTACTGTCGGCCTGCCTTATTCTTCCAAAATAATCACAAAGGTCTTGAAAGTAATGAGTTTTTTTTCTAATTCCACAACAAGGACATTCAGACTCATCTGAATGCCCACAGTGGCCCCAAGTCTTTTTTAAAACCAGGTGGTGAATGTCAAGTCTTTCCAGCATTTTCATGTTCTTGTATCTGCTTATCTTGCAAGTTTTATTTATAAAGTTGTGTGGTAAAGTTTATTGCTTATTTTTATATACATGGATAACTGATGCAAGACCTTGTACTTATCATCTTCAGAGCAATCTGATCCATAGGTACATTTTCTTTTTATGCAGTGTCCAAAAGTTTATATGTATAACATTCCAGATAGACATGAATCATTGTAAATTTTCAAGAAACTTTTATCATTTTGCATAAAACCTTTGACAATTTTTTCTCATAAACTTTGACTGCTCCATCAAATTACCTCATTATTTGGTCTTCATAGTATGTGGAAGCAGATGACCTCGAGCTGGCTACCAAGGAAAAAGATCCAGTGAAGTACTATGAGGCATGGAAGCACCTCTGCAGTGCTCAGTCAGTCCATCATTGCTTAATCCTTCTCATGTTTCATGCACTAAGTTTTAGCTGATGTTGAACATTTTCTAAATGACTTGCATCCAGGGGGATCCTTGTTCCTGGGGGGTTTGGAAGCCGTGGCTGTGAGGGGAAGATCGCAGCATGTGAATTTGCTCGTATCAATCAGCGTCCTTTTCTAGGGATTTGCCTTGGGATGCAGTGTGCTGTCATTGAATTCTCCAGGTCTAGTTCTCCTTCATGTGTCATTCATTGGGAATCCTTGTCATTTCTGTGTCAAAAGTTCAAGCAGGACTTCCCAAAGCCACTTTTTTGTTATAAGTATCCAGGGAAAGGTATCCCAACACTTCAATTTCCTTATAAAATTAAAAAATAATAATAACGAATTCCAGTCAAATTTTTAAATTGGAATTAGTTATTTTTGCATTAGAGCAAATCATAGTCTTGATGTTTTACAACCTGGAACCATTATGATTATTGAATAATATTTGCTATTGAATCCATAATTGCCCTCTTCATCACATTTTGTTACCATGAATCATGTGATCATGATGCTGGCAGTTTCATTTCTTATTCCTTGCTAAGTCTCACTGGGGATGACATTGATTTTGGCAAAGTCTAGAAAGAGCAAAAATAAGTTAGCATGAGTGACTTGCCCTGGATCAAGTAATGTGAGGAGGAAAAGTGTTGGATGGGGAAATCCATTCCTTGGAAATTCTTGTGAAGAATTTATGGTGAAGAACCTGCAGCATTGAGACAGAGATTGAAAAACATTTTCATCCTCAATTCCTGCATTATGTAGGAATGTGCTGGGCTGGCATGATGCAAACTCCACAGAATTCATGGCTGACACACCACATCCTGTGGTAATTGACATGCCAGAGCACAATCCAGGTCAAATGGGTGGGACCATGCGACTTGGCCTCCGCCAGACCATCTTCACTCGGGACAACTCCCTACTACGTCTGTTTCCCTCTCATTTGCACTCTTTTTTTTTTCAGTACCTAGCCATATATCATGAGTATCTATAATCATTTTATTCTCCTGCTCCTAGCCCAAGTGTAGAACTCTACCTTTGTACCTTTGATAAGCCTTTGACACTACCTTGACCTCAATTCTGTTCTCATATGACCTACTTATATCATACATGCCATGCAATGTGAATGTGTGTAATGATCCAGGGCAACTGTATGGTAATGTTGACATGATCCAAGAACGTCACCGCCACCGCTATGAGGTGAACCCCCGCTTCATAGAGGACTTTCAAGGCCAGGGACTCACATTTGTTGGCCAGGACTCAGAGGGGATCCGCATGGAAGCCTTTGAGCTCCCCACTCACCCATACTATGTTGGTGTCCAATTTCATCCTGAGTACATCTCACGGTAAGCCTTTTTTGTTTTTTGCTCAGCATTTCAGAATAGGATTATAGCAAGTAAAATTTTAGACCTTGGCAGGCATAGATAAATTCCTGTGAATCAATTAGCCTCCTACGAATTGTTTCCATTGTGCTTGTTCCAAATAGAATCCAGAAGTGTGTCTTAGACACTTAAATGAAAGCACACTCAGGTTTAGGGCTGTCAATTCTATACTTCTAGGACTACTAAATGATTTCAAGAAAATGAGTGGGGGGAAATAATGGATGGAAAGGGATGAAGGGTTTTGGCAGGCGACAAAGCTATCATCTGATATTTTGTTTCTCTTCTTATCCCTCCAACTACTCAGTGACTTTTTTTCATGTCACAAAGACCAGTTCCCCCTTGTCTTCTTACTTTGCCATTGAATCAAAAAGTATTTCTTTCATTTGGTTGAACTTCTTGTATTTGTTATTTTTTAAATTGGATTTGTTTTATTATGAATTAAATATAATGTAGTAATTTGCCAGAATTGTGGTTGTTCCAAAGCCCTCAGATTGCTTCATTTTTTGGCCAATGTTTTTCATTAGTTTGCAATATGAATACAGTTATTACTTCTCCTGTAAATCAGTTTCTAGTTCCCCAGTGTGTACAGTGAATGTATGAAGTGGATTTGCTTGCAGGCCTCTGAAGCCAAGTCCACCATACCTGGGGTTTATTCTAGCCTCAGTGGGTAAGCTGCAGCAGTATTTGCATCGCGGCTGTCGTCTTTCACCACGCTACTCCCTTCTCAATGACAGTGAAGGTGAGAACTTCATCCATAGATCAGTTGGTCCAGTTGCAGAAATCTTATGGACCTGGAAAACCTGAGGTTGTCAGGCTGATTGTAATGGTATTCAAAAGTTAGGAAATTGACAAGTTTTTTCATATTCAGCATGAGGGAGCGGTAAAGGAAATTGGGAGAATTGTATTAACTGTCTCAAGATGGAAGTGAAGAGTTTTCACAGGTGGTAGAGGTAATGAATTAAAATATTAAGTTTGCTTTAGGAAGTTGCTCTCAAAAGGAATGAAAATATTAAGTTTGCTTAAGGAAGTTGCTCTCAAAAGGACTTAGAGAGTCCTTTTGAGAGCAAGTCAAGAGAATCAATGCTAAATTTTTTGTGGAAACCCCAATTCAATAATCTATGAATTCACATCATTCTTTGCAAGGGAGGAGAACTTTCTACCTTCCCTATCACTCTCAATCTTCCCTTTGGGGGGAAAGGGAAGATTGAGAGTGATGGGGATATTGCCATGCACTGCCATGACAGTGGATCGCTTTGTCTCATTCAGTCTTGATGTTGGCTTACATTCCTTCTCTAACCATCTAAAACAGGACTCTCTGACATTATTTAGTCAAACATTATTTTTACCAAAAAATCTTGGATTGATAGCTTTCAAGGATAAAATTTGTTGAATGTCCATTTTTTGTAGACTTTCATGAAGCTCATTGATTTGAAAATTAAAGTTTCTACCATATGCTTGGTAATATTCAAGGTGCCAGGAAATCTGAGTCCCTCTCAGTAGCAGATCGGTGTGGTGGTGAAGCAAAGCAGGTTTGATTTCTGAAATAGATATTCAGTTCTCCATTTATAGGTTGAAACTCAGTTTTGCATCTGTCTCCTGCAGGGCTGGGTAAGAATATCCTTGTCATGAGAAAATGTCAGTATTCACATTGGTCAATATTTTTGGGATGTTATTTTGGTTGTACATGTTGTCCCTTTATGCATGGGATGTTCTTGGCCAGTGGTGGAGGCATGCAATGCATAGAATCAGCCAGTAAAGTTAGAGTTAAATACTTTACTCAGATATAAAATCCCTTTTATATCTAAAATTTACTTTATTATACCTCTGCTTCTGAGGAGAGACCAAGCTTTAGCCACTTATCCAGCATGCCTGTAAAATTCATGGGCTCCCATAAATGTGCCCATTTTGGCATGCCTGTAAAATTTATGGGTTAGCGCATGTATTGTTCACAGCACTCCTGTAGCCTTTACTTTGCACCCTGGGAGAGTGGAGATAGTTCAACATATGTTCCACTGAAGGCAGAAGATCATAAGTAATCATCACCCTTCTTACTGCCATCTATAAAGTTAGGGTGAAGTTACTTTTTCTCTCTGACTAATGAGTTACTTACCAAACTTGTTGAAAGGCATTTCAACCCCCCAAATTCCACTGGTTCAAATTAAGAAGTACCCTGCAAGAGCTTTCTTATTGTGTCCAAGAAGACAAGAGATACGATGGGAATGTGTACCTTGTGGAAATGTACCTCTGAACCACTAAACATGCATTGAGCAATACTATTCAAAACAGAAACCGTGAATGACTTCCTGGGGAAGAAGTAGGGTGATGCAAATATACTGTCACACAAACTGTAAGACATGCAGAAACATCATGGTGGCAAGTCATGCGTGAGGAATTGAAAAGTAAAGTTCTTTTACATTATTACAAACTTTCGTATTTTCTGTCCTGGAAAAAACCTGCTGCTGGGGGAGCAGCAGGTGGTTGAAAACCTGTCAGATAGGGAGTTAATGGTACCCTGTATATTTTTCAGTTGCCTTGAATATTGGGTGGATGTAATAGTCACATGACCTTTCAGAGGAAACTTGGACATTTTTATTTGACAATCATTCAGAGTGAGTGAGAGAATGAGGTGCTTGTCAAAGTTGCTCAAATTGGTTCACTTGATCTTTGAAGCATACCTGAAACTGAATGTGAATGAGTCCACTGTCCTGCTTCTTCATTTTGCTGTGCTGTGTGTGGAAGCCAGAAGCCATGTTACATGGCTAGATTACTTGTGGTTTCTTCACCCTACAACAACTAAAGTTGGCAGAACAATCAATTTGTTCATTTTCAAGTTTCAGTTATGCCTTAGAAATCAATAGAAGCTATTTAACCCTATTGTGGGAAAATGTTTTCTTATGTGGTGTTCCCAGAGAACAGGGATAGTCAAACGTTTTCTGGGATGTATACTTTCTGCTGCCCAGGAAAGAGTTTACACTAGAACTACCAGAGCAGTCAATTTGACTGCTGCATTAAAAGAAGTATAAAACTATTATTCTGTAACATTGATTTGTTTTTTCCCAGATGTTATTTGACATGTTCAAACTGTTGATATTAGATAGGAAGAGTAAAAACTGCAGAGGCCCTTAGTTGCCAAATGAGCAGAGTGAAATGCATTAAAAATCACTGAACAATTAAAATGATTGCCCCAGTAGTTCTAGTGTTAAACAACTCTAATAAGCTGTTCCTTTCCTCTCTCAGCAGTTGTCATTATTCACATTGTAAATTGTCAGAATATGTAGGAATGCCTCTCAATTCTGTGACTTGCAAGTTAAAATTCATGTTGTCCAATTTTAAAATGTATTTTGTAACATTTTCAGGCCCATGCCTGTCATATGATGAGTAAACCCATAGCGCATTCAAATTGCTGGGTCTGAAAGTGTTAAATGTATTGCATTATTGGAGTTCAACAAATATTTATTTGGTAGGAAGTTCACACAATATTTTAAATTGCAATTTCTAGATTGGAATCCTCATTTGGTGTTATTCTCAGATGATGAGGTGTACCAGCTGACCCACCAGGTGTCAGATGTGAACCTCGGGATGCCATCAGAGCCTGTGTCGGAGTGTAGCACCCCAGCCCCTATATCTGGCAAGGCAGAAGGACTCTTGACATCATAGGATCTTCGATGTCTTAGACCTTCCTTACAGCTTCCTGATTTTCCCGTGCATCGTTCAAGTTTCTCAGAGTTTGATGATGTCATAGCATGATAGTGCCATCACAAATGGAATCTCTTTAACTGCAATATTTTCTTCCTGTTGCATTTTTGTAGCTGAGAGTGCCACATGTAATGCCAGCTGTGATGATTCAGCTTGAATCTCATGGAGATGTGTTGGGATATTTTGAGACAGAAGTGTGCATTCCATATTTTGTGAAAATATTAAGACAACTCTGGAGAGTGAATCTCAGATTTTGTGGGAAAGGATTTAGTTTCTCTTTCAACCCTTTGTAATCAGCCAACTTGCTCTCTTTTGGAAATAAAGCCCTGGATTGACATATTTTTCCATGGACGTATTGAATTCCAAGATGAGAGCAAGAAAGGGGAGGTTATGACCGATGAATTCACAAAACAGACATGGACCATTTTCTGCTCTTTGTTTTTGCAATAGTACACATTATCCTCACTCTTCATGCTTGCACTCTTATTGCCTTTCTTAAAGCTCTGATACACGAGGCAAGAACTTACTAGCTAGTCCATGCTAGCAAGCACTTGCCAAGAGATTTGCCTCGTGTATACACCACTTGCTTCGCTCTAGCAAGTCCCGGCAAGTGCTTACTTCCACTTTCCCCTCGGTTCAAAATCCTAGAAGGCTTGTCAACAAGTCGCGCCCTGATTGATAGGGAAGACACCTATGCAATACTCATGCGCTATCAAATCATTTCATAAACCAGACAATCTGCACAGGTCACGTCATTACCTTCCGAGCTCTCGAGGTGGTAGGTTACTACCACCCGACTACTCTCCCTCTGGCATTCTAGCAACCACTTCATCCGTTTCCTATTGAAGAAACAGATGCACACTGACTATGTAGTGGCTTTCCTCTGTATTCCTTTGACTTTCCTAAATATCAAAACGGCCTTTCTCACGTGATAGCATTGAAGTTGGACTCGGAAGAATGGGAAAAAGTAGTGGCCGTGCATGTCTTGTGCATCACAATACAAGGAGGAACTCTCGCGAGAAGGGAGAGACCTAGATCAAGGACTGTAGGAATACAAAGACAATGACCTGTGAAAGATCTCTCTGACATCTACAGTAGGTGTGAGTTTTCGCTCTTTTCGATTTCGTTTCACAGATGCCTGACATCTTTTGAGCAAGTCCTTGCTAGTCTACTTGCTTCTTGTATACCCTCGCTTGCTCCTTGCTCGCAAGGACTTGCCAAGAGACTTGCCTCGTGCATACACCACTTGCTTCGCTCTAGCAAGTCCCGGCGAGTGCTTGCTTCCACTCTCCCCTCGGTTCAAAACCCTAGAAGACTTATAAACAAGTCGCGCTCCGATTGGTAGGGAAGACCCTGTAGGAACCAATTGTGGTGAGGCTCATGGCGTCCTCAGTACTTTGTAGGAGCAGACGGGCCCTCTCGTCTTTGTTTCTTAATGAAAATTGTCCGAAATGGCCCCTGTGCATTCGAAGTTAAATCATGGGAGAGATATTGCTCTCATAATAGGGTATATCATCATGGCTTCCTTACCTGATCCCTAATGGAGCGGTCATGGTACTCCTTCAGTGGTGTTGGCAGGAAATCGGCAGCGGGGGAGGTTGCGGGTTAGGGTTGGTGGAGGGGGGGGGGGGGGGGGGGGGGGGGGGGGGGGGG